AAGCCTTGCACAACTGGCTGACGCTTTAATGGTGCTCAAAGCTCCCTCCCAAAAGGCCTCAGAAAGGTTCAGCTGAAGTTCTGTTTCCTAGCCTGTTTTTATTTTGATTAAAGTGGATTCATTGGTACAGTGCATCCGGAAAGTATTCATACCACTTCACTTTTTCCACATTTTGTTATGTTACAGACTTATTCCACAATGGATTCAATTCCCTTTTACCCTCAAAAATTCTACACAAAATACCCCGTAATTACAAAGTGAAAAACTTTTTTTAGAACATTTTGCAAATTTATTAAAAATAAGAAAACTCAAATGTTGCATATACACAAGTATTCACACCCTTTACTCAATACTTGGTCGAAGCACCTTTGGCAGCGATTACAGCCTCCAGTCTTCTTGTGTATGATGCAACAAGCTTGGCACACCTGGATTTGAGGAGTTTTTCCCACTCCAAGTTGGCGGAACATTTCAAGGCTGATCAGTGGAAACAGGATGCACCTGAGCTCAATTTTGAGTTTTATAGCAAAGGGTGTGAATACTTATGTATGTATGTGGAAAAAGTGAAGTGGTATGAATACTTTCCGGACTGTACTGCACTGTAGGAGACAGTAGCTTTTAGATGTGACCCCTTGGTAGATTTGTGGCCTTCAGGATAAGATCTACCCCACTTGGTGCCGGAATATTTGGGAATGATGTAGCATAAGACTTGGCAAAGTGACACAACTGGAAATAACCCATCTGTGGTTATTTAAAACCCAAAGATTACCTGAACAAACCCGGGTTTAGTTTGAAAAATTTCCCAGGCTTTCATTTAGAACACTCTTCATATGTTTACTCATTTTTGGATTTGTCATATTTGATGAAGTGTGACATAATACCAGACGCCCCCTTCAGAGAACTTATACATCAGCAGAACTGATTGATAAGATTTCCATCAGCACTGATCTGGTTTAGAACCAGAACCAGGACAGACTGGACATTTCTGACACAAGGTCTATCATACTTATAATTTTATATCTCATGCACACATTGTCATAAATGAGACCCTCACGGGACTTCAGAGGCTCCTCATACCCCAAACAAAGAGCTGAGCTATAAGCTTATTCTTCCACATCACGACTCCATTTCCCATCAGCCCCTTCACCTCCTGAAGAGGTCAAACTCTTATGGAGTTTTCTGAAAGTTCCTCTCTCCATCTGACCTCAAAGTGAAGGATGTTTGGCTGCTTCTGCTCTCATTAGGAGGCTCATTTCTTTTTCACCTGTTTGAAATCATTACACTGATGTCTGTAAATGAACACGACGCTCATTTGTCGAGGCTAAACAACCCCGCTGAGCCGCTTTAACGAGCTCAATGTACAGGAAGGAAATCAAATCTCTCTCAACGGTGCAGAAATGCGTATTTATCCTCTCCTCCTGTCCTTGTGTGTGTGTGTGTGTGTGTGTGTGTGTGTGTGTGTGTGTGTGTGTGTGTGTGTGTGTGTGTGCACGCGTGCACGTGCAGCGGTGCTGGTGGCGGTGACAGTGTGGAACCAGAAAGGCAGCCGTAACAAGTTCAGGAAGCGAGGAGTTTATCACATCCCTGCTGAACATGAGAGCTGGGAGGACATCCGAGAAAACATCCTCAACTACAACGAGGAGGGGGGGGGGGAGCAGGACCAGGTACACACACCAAACACACACACACACACATTCTGCCTCTTACATAACAGCTCCCTCTGCAGATATGAGCCAAACACACAGTAGAACCCTGACAGTACCAAATCCAGAACCCTGTCTTTCTTTCTCCCCGCCCTCACAGAACGGATATGACATCACAGAGCTGAAGCGCCCTCTCTGCTCCAGTCTGTCCCAGTCCTCGTCCTGCACCACCGCCCCACTCATCAAGTCCTCCCCAGGCTCCCAGGAGGAGGTCCACCCATCCAGCTCCTCCTGCAGCTCAGGCGCCCCCTACCTCAGCATCCCCCATCACCACCACCACCACCATCAGCACGCCAACAACAGCTATGCCGGAGACTCCACCTACGCCAACTTCACCGCTCCCATGGGCCAGGACGTGGAGCTGAGTGACGCCGGAGGCTATGTGGACGTGTCATCGGCGTCTCGCTCTCACGTGGACTTTAAAAGCTACGTTGCGAGGATCATCTGGGAGGCAGACAACGACAGCGAGGCATTCCCGCTGGATGCATACCATGTGTGGTGCGTGGAGGGCTCGGGTTCATCTGCAGGAAGTCTCAGCTCACTGGGCTCAGGGGCGTCATGTAGGAACATTAGCTCCGCCCCCTGTGAGGAGGAAGAGGAGGAGGACGATGATGAAGCAGGGTTTGTATATAACAGGCTGTCGCAGTGGGGTCCAAAGTTTCAGGCGCTGAGCGAGATGTATGACCGACCTCAGCTGGCGCTCACATACAGGGACGCGGTGGCGTACATCCAGAGGAGCCACAGCCGCGAGCTGCTGCCTCAGCACCACTAGAGGGCGCCATGACAACAACTACATGAACATTACTGCTGAGAGCGGGTTAGAGCTGCGTTCACATCCAGTCAAAACAAAGGAAACGGGAAAATTCAGTTAATATGACAAATCAGATGGTTAAAAAAAAACACAATTATATTTTCTAATTTTATTGAGTTTGACAGGAGAGCATGAGAGGCGGGCAGAAGGAGAAAAAAGATGAGAGAATTTTTTTTATAAAGATAATATAAAGAAAATAAAGATTGACCTTCAATTAGTTTTATAAAAAGGTCAAACAAATTTTTTTTATCTTTGCAGTATTTCAGCACTGCAGCTTTAAAATCAGATGTTTAAAAAAATAAAGTCCCATTTTGACCTGGAGTGTGTAATGTCAATAAACCTATTTGTATAATCAATCACTTTGATTACTCCATGTCAGTAATTATGGACCAAACAGCAGCCGCAGGTCATTAGAAATGAATTCTAAAAACTGCTAAAAGCTAAGCTAAAAACTGCAGTTCTTTGAGTGTCTACTAGAGGCTGGCTGCAAAAACCTCAAAACCACATACACACCCATTGTAAAAAGCAAGCAGCTTAATAAACCAGTTTACAGCCTGAACTGGAGCACCTATAGTTCAAAATAGACTTTAAGAACTGAAATATAATAAGAACCCAGATTAATGTGTAATATTAAAAAAAGGCATCAAAATGACCTCTGACCTGATGTGGCGTGAAGGCAGCAGCTTTGTTCCCTCATTCTTGGTGTTTCTTCACGCAGAGATACAACAGAGTTTCCCCCCTCAAAAAGCACAGGGAGAATTTTTCAAAAATTTAAACGTAGTCTTTTACTCCCTTTATCTCTGCCTTTTACCTGACCTCCTCACATGAACCACAAAAAAAATCCAGAAACTCTCCCAAGGGCAAACTTTGATTTTGCAGTTTTCTCCTCTGTTACACTTTTTCACACCTTTCTTCACTCCTTGTCTCCACCTCACTGTTGCACTAAAAGGAAGATTCAGACTAACCTGTCTGCCAGTAAGAAGATAAAAAAAAATGAATAACACCTTTAAAGCTCGCCAGGTGAAGCACGCTCCCTCTCAGTGTTTCTAACGTGTAAAATAAGATTTGATAGTTTTTAGACGACAGATTATTTTTATACGTTCAGAAGCTGCTCTCCTCTTGGAGCTGTTTGGATGAGGTGTAAATGTGCAGGACGGCTCCAGTTTCACTGTTTCAGACTCATTGTTCTGTTTCTGTTCAGAGAGCGCCATTTGTAAAGACTCCGATCTTTTGTTTTGATTCAGACCTCTGCTGTGGATCAGGATGTGTTTGTTTCTGCAGCGACTTCATCGTTGAGCTGCATCACTTTCAGACGTTTCACTCAAAGCTGGTTAAAGTGATGATGATGAGCTCGATGCTGATCCTTTAAGGTCAAACTGTGAGGAAATTAATGTTCAGGAAACTTCTGCAGGTTCTGATTTAAGAGTGGGATAGGCAACAAAAAAGGTTTGACAAAGAACTATGTCGGCTGTTTCTGCACAATATTTTTTACTTCATACAAAACAAGAAACACGATCGAGACCCAGAAAGTTCACTTAAAGAGTCAGTATAAAACATTTTTACAAACTTTTCAGGATTTGAGGCCCACACATAATTTCAATAGTTAAACACTGTTTAATTCATTAGGGACAACTTTGCATTACAGCAACAGTAAAGAAGGCTGGGGCAGCCCTAAAGAGACAGACTACCTAAAAGTGTTTTAATCTGGGGCCGAAATGAGAGTTTTCAAAAACACCAGCTTCAGATTTTTTTCACTGCAGAGGTGTCAGACAAACAGAATAAAGTCTGAAAAAATGCCATTTTTGAATTTTTTTGTTAAACCTTTCTTTCAGTTCCAAAAGAAATTATATCAGATACATTTTTATATTCTACTGGAGTTAAGGCTGACCTTGTCCCAGAATTTAACAGACTGACAGACCTCAAATGGAAAAATTCATATTTTTTATTTTCTTAAAAACAAAAAAACATTTTTTTCCCCTCAGGTCCCCATTTTCAAAATTTTAACTTTTTCTGCTTGATTATGAATTTAATTTGAATTTAACTCCTGACTTTAAATTTGACTTTTAAGTGTTTCGACTTAAATCAAAACTCTATCCTTAGTTTCATTTTTTGTTTTACTTTAATGATGACAGAAGTCATTTTTTTCTGAATATTCAGACTTTTTTATCAGTTTGCTGCCACATTTTCAGGATTTTCATTACAATTCTAACTATTGTCTGTGTTCTGACTGTCCGTTTTTCAATAGTGTCAATTTTTTTTTTTTTTTTTTAATTCTGACTTGAATGTCTAAAGACTTTTTTTCTCAGCTTTCAAACTTTTGTCCAGTATTATGTTTATTTTAAATTTTACTTAGTTATCTCCATTTTCTGGAATATTTTTAAAATAAAATTCTGATTTTTTTGTCTTATGACTTTTTCCCCCGTTTTTTCTGTATATTCATTTTCTTATCCTTTTTTCTCAGTTATCTGACTTTTTGTTCTTGGTGTTCTGACATTTTTCTGGAATTTTTAAAATTATAATTCTGACCTTTTCCTAACAATGACTTTTCCTCTGAATTATTACTTTTATCTTCAATCTGTTTTTCTTCAGTAATCTCACTTTTTTCTAGAGTTATTTTGGAACTTTCTTTAATTGATTTATCTTTTGCTAGAATTCCCAAATAAGAGTCACTGACTTTTATCTCTTATTCAACATTTAAACTCTGACTTTCTGACCTCAGGATTCTCCATTTAAAGTCCAACTCTCCCCAAAATTAAAAGTTTTAGACCAGAAGTTTTTTTTTTTTCTCTCATTTTATTGGAAAATTATCAGAATTCTTATATTTATTGTTCAGTAGTAAAACACTCTAAAGTCTCTTTACTATCTCTGCAAGCTCTTTTGAATGATCATTTATTTTGCATTTCTATGTATTAAATAGAACATAGGAGGATGAATTAGAGGGTCAAATACATGTCTCATTATCTTTATAATAATGCAGAATCAGGCTTTTTTCCTCTATAACACACTCTTAAACCTGAACTTGTAGATGAATTTGCACTCAAGTTTTTGTTGTTGGCTAATCAACATGTAATTTTTCCTGTTTTCAAAAGCCATGTGATTAACTTACTTAGAGGAGGGATGGGTACAAAGGGGCAAATTTAGGATTGACATTTTATTTTTCACCTTTTGACAAACCAAATGAGTTAAAATGTAACAGAGCAGTTTGATTGGTTGGGTCTGATGGCTGCCCCGCCTACCTCTCTGCTGATATGTTGTTAATACACCGTCTGATGAATGTACTTTTATATGTAGAGAGGAGAAATGTAGAGAGCGAGCAAAGAGTACAATCAGAGAGTTAATTTTGCTGTTTGATGAAAGAGATGAAGAGAGTCAGAGTTTGATTTCCACAGAGGACAGATAGAAATCAGACTGAAGGACTGATCCTCATCAGTGTCACTTTTTCTCTTCTGAGCCCTCACAGAATTGTACTCAAAGCTATGCATCCAAATGAATCTACACAGGTGTCTTTCTGAGCTCCAGGTGTTTGTGTTTGACCTCTGACCCGTGCTGTGTGACACACCTGGAGACGCTGTGTTTTTACAGCTGTTTAATGTGTGTAAACGTGTGTGTGAGTGTGGTGAGTTTGATCCAGCAGCACTCAGTGTGGATCTGTATGATAACATGTAAATATGGACGTTTTGTAGCAGCCGAACATGAATACTCCTTTTGTATTTGACTTTTAATAAAAACAGATTTTTCCCCAAACAGCTCCTCTCTGGTTTTTTATTGCATTTGAGTTTTGGATGCAGGGGTGTGTCCAGAGGGGGGGCAGAGGTGGTGAAACTAGAAGCAGTAACATTAGAGTGAACATGATACATAACTTACTCTGTATAATGATTAGACAATTAAAAGTCCTCCAAAAATACAAGCATCAGAATGAATAAGAATAAGAACTTTGAGAAGAACTTGATTAAGGAGGAGAAATACTAATTACTAATTCAACTACTATTTTAATAATAAATAATATTCAAATTTTTTAATAATAAATACTAATTCAACTACTTTCTCCACCCTGTGATTAAAAAAAGGATCACCTACAGAAGTTTGCAGTAGCACATTCTTTTTATATCAGAGGCAATGCTGCTATCGTGTGGTGAGTTTGGGTATTACAGGACTGAAGGACTTTTTTTTTCTTCAGTCCTGGATGGTCTTTTATTTCAGACTTAATGTAAATAGAAAAGAAAATAGAAAATAAGAAAATAAGATATGGACGTCAAACTTGTCTGATTTAGTTTCTCTCCACGCATAAATTTATCACTTTATTCTTTGCATATTAAAAATGATTGTTAGTGTAAACTCTTTGGATAAACCAAACAGTTGTACTTTCCTTTTTTGTTGTCCTTTCAAACCTATTTTTGTATTTTTTCCACTCTTAAACTGTGAACAGAAATAAGAGACAGCAGCTCATAAATGGACAGAGATAGAGATGAAGTCAACAAAATGAAGTTCTGCTGACATCAGTTTGGATCGCTCTGCTCTGCCCACGGTCTGCAGGTCTTACCCAAGACCATGATTGTGGCCTTTGATCTCTGAGCCCAAACCTTCTCTGGCTGCAGTTCGTCTCACTGTCCTGTCAGAGCGTCTGATTCTGCAGATCAGTATCTCCTCATCGTCAGGGTGGCCCATAAAACTGAACCAGTTCAAATGCAGGAATCATAGGTCACCCTTAAATCTTAATCTGAGACACACTAAACATAACTCAGACTCTAAATGATCTGATTTATTTTGCTGAGTCAGTGGTTGCTGCAGAGATGACCTCCTTTTATCCCAACAGGGCTCATACAGAGTGGTCATTGAGTCGATATTAATAATAATAATAATAATAATACATTTTATTTGTAGAGCGCTTTTCAAAAAACACAAAGACGCTGTACAGAGTTAAGCAATAAAAACACACATCAATAAGTAATAAAATTTATGGCAATATAATAAAAACATGTAGAATCGGGTAAAATCCAAATAACAATAAAACATGCATCAATAAGTAATAAAAATTTACGACAATGTCAATAAAAACATGTAGAATCAGGTAAAATCCAATGGGGGGGGGGGCTAGGAAGGATGAAAGGCAGTGCGGAAGAGGTGGGTTTTGAGAAGGGTCTTGAATCTGGTGAGGTCGGTGCAGTTTCTGAGTTCGAGTGGGAGTGAGTTCCAGAGGGTGGGGGCGGCGACTGAGAAGGCTCTGTCCCCCCAGGTTCGGTGCTTGGTCAGGGGAACTGTGAGGAGGTTGGCATTGGCGGAGCGGAGGGTGCGGGAGGGGATGTAGGGGTGGAGAAGATCCTGTAGGTAGGGGGGGGCGAGGTTGTGGAGTGCTTTGTGGGTGAGGAGGAGGATTTTGTATTGAATGCGATGGGGTATGGGGAGCCAGTGAAGGTTTTGGAGGACGGGGGTGATGTGTTGATGGGAGCGTGTGTGGGTGAGGAGGCGGGCGGCTGAGTTCTGGATAAGCTGAAGTTTGTTGAGGAGAGTGGAGGTGGTGCCATAAAAGAGACTGTTACAGTAATCTAGACGAGATGAAAAGAATGCATGTATAAGGGTTTCAGCTGCAGGGTAGGAGAGGGAGGGGCGGAGGCGGGCGATGTTTTTGAGGTGGAAGTAGGCTGTTTTAGTGATTTGCTTTATGTGGTGGGTGAAGGAGAGGTTGCTGTCGAGGAAAATGCCAAGGTTGCGACAGTGGGAGGAGGGGGAGAGGATGGAGTTGTCGATGGAGAGATGAAAGTTTGTGACTGTGGAGGTGAGGGAGTTTGGGCCGATGATGATGAGATCTGTTTTGTCATAATTGAGCTTGAGAAGATTGCTGTCCATCCAGTGTTTTATGTCAGAGAGGCAGTTTGAGAGGGAGCGTTGGGTCTGGGGGGTGATGGAGTTGGAAGAGATATATAATTGAATGTCATCAGCGTAGCAGTGGAAGTGGAGGTTGTGTTGACGGAGGATGTGGCCAAGAGGGAGGAGGTAGATGATGAAGAGGAGGGGACCAAGCACCGAGCCCTGGGGGACACCTTGGGACACAGGGGCAGTTGTGAAGGAGCAGTTGTTAATATGGATGAAGTGATTGCGGTCTGTGAGGTAAGAGTGGATCCAGTTAAGAGCGGTGTCTGTGATATTGAGGAGGGAGTGTAGGCGGGACAGAAGGATGGCATGGTTGATGGTGTCGAAAGCAGCGGAGAGGTCGAGGAGGATGAGGATGGAGAGTTGTCCAGAATCAGCAGAGATGAGGAGGTCATTTGTCACTTTTATGAGGGCAGTTTTGTGCTGTGATGGGTGCGGAATCCTGATTGAAACTGTTCGTATAGGTTGTTATTGTTGAGGTGGGTTTTGATTTGTGATGCGATGACACGTTCGAGGATTTTTGACAGGAAAGGGAGGTTAGAGATGGGCCGGAAGTTACTGATGTCATCAGGGTTGAGTCCAGGTTTTTTGAGGATGGGGGTGACAGCAGCCAGTTTGAGTGACGGGGGAACAGTGGCGGAGTTGAGGGAGGAGTTGATGATCTGTGTTATGATGGGGGAGATGACAGGGAGGCAGTGCTTGATGAGGGAGGATGGGATGGGATCCAGGATACAGGTGGATGAAGACATGGAGCAGATGATATTAGTCACGTCGGTTGAGGAGACAGGTGAGAAGCAGGAGAGTGCTGATGGGATGAGGGGAGGAGGGGAGCAGCAGGGAATGGAGGGTGGGGGAAGGGAGTTATAGATTGCGTTGATTTTGGTTTGAAAAGAGGAGAGGAATGTGTTGCATTTTTCCGGGGTGAAGGTGATGGAGGTACTGTCTATGGGGTGGAGCAGTTTTTTGACGGTGGAGAAAAGAGCCTTTTGGTTACTGGAGCCGGAGTTGATGAGGTTGGAGTAATAGGATGAGCGGGCGGATTTGAGGGCTGTTCTGTATAGGTGGAGGTGGTCGGTGTAGGCTTGGAGATGGACAGTGAGGCCGGTTTTGCGGTGTAGACGTTCCAGTTGGCGTTTATGGGATTTCATTTTGTGTAGTTCTGAAGTGTACCAGGGGGCAGAGTGTCTGAATGAAACTGTTTTTGTTTTGAGAGGTGCGAGCTGGTCCAGGCAGGAGGATAGAGTGTTGTTGTAGTAGTTGAGTAGGTCAGGAAGTTTAGCAGATGGTGAGGGAGGGGATGCAGTGAGGGTGGCAGATAGGGAAGCGGAGAGGTCCTGTGGTGAGATGGATTTGAGGTTTCTGAAGGTAATTTGTCGTTTTTCACTGTGAGGCAGAGGGGGGGGGTCGACGTTGAAAGTGACAGCCAGGTGATCAGAGATATAGAGGTTGGTGGTGGAGAGATGGTGGATGGAGATGCCGGTGGAGCAGACGAGGTTGAGGTTGAGGGTGTGGCCATGGGAGTGGGTGGGGGAGTGCACATGCTGGGTGAGATTGAGGGTGTCAAGCAGATCCAGGAAATCAGATGCTTGTTTGCAGGTGGGGTTGTCAATGTGAAAGTTGAAGTCTCCAAGCAGCAGGACAGAGGATGAAATGGTGTTTAGGTGGGTGACAAAGTCAGAGAAATCAGAGAGGAATGATGGGTGGGGCTTTGGGGGGCGGTAGATAGTAACAATGACCAGAGGGGAGGGACCGGGGAGTTTGACAGAGATATTTTCGAATGAGTGGACGGACAGGGTGGGGGCGGGGATGGTCTTGAGGGTTTGTTTGTGAATAACTGCGACGCCTCCGCCTCGTCCAGTCAGGCGGGGTTGGTGTAGGTAGGAGTAACCGGGGGGGGTGGCTTGGTTGAGTGGAAAGAGGTCGAGATGGTTGTGCCAGGTTTCGGTTAGATAGAGGAAGTCCAGGTTATTGTCTGTTGTGAAGTCAGCTAGGATGTGTCCTTTGTTATTGAGGGAGCGGGTGTTTTGAAGGCCCATCTTCAGGGGAGGGGGCTGTGCGGTGGGCAGTGAGGCAGGGGGAGGGCAGCGGAGGTTTGTTAGATTTCTTGTCCTTCTTTTTGGATGCATGGGATTTGAACGGGAGGGTCCAGTAGTTGTAATTGTTTTAATTGTTTGTAATTGTTTGCATGGAGAGTCTATGGTTGAAGGGTGTAGTGGCTGTTTGGACCAGGAGGGGGAGCTTGATGTGGTGGGGGCGATGGGGTTGGTGTGCAGTACCAGCTGGGGCCTGTTGGGGGAGCCGGTGGTGAGGGCGAGGGTTCCGGAGAGGGGCCTCTGGGGGGCGCTGTTTCCAGGTGGGGTAGTGGGAGAGGATGACAGGGAGTATGTAAACTCTGGCTGTGTCTCATTTCAGAGACCGCATCGACCTAAGTGCCCTTCTGCACCGTCGAACGGTGCATTTGAAGTGTGCATGACGTCACGACGGTGCGAACGGTGTCCCGTTTGGCACGAGATGCTAAAAAATGCTAAGCGCGCTTAGCATGTTTTCAAGCGTGCATTTATCCACGCTTTCGTGCCGTCGGTATCCCAGAATCCTTTGCGTGCCGCTGCACAGCTGCGCATTTCAGGTGAGAGGCTGGACTCGCTTGGAGACGCAGCGCGTCTTCAAAGAAATTACAAGCAATCCAAAAACAGCAGACAGTCAGCTCAGGCTGTATGAGAGCATGATCTCTGAACTCACTAAACTCTGTTAACCAAACATTATAGATTTAGAGACGAACTGATCCGCTCTGCTTCAACAATCAAAAACATTAGAAATAAGAAAGCTGACAAAACTACAGCAGAGTATCAGGACAACATTGAGGTTTTTTTCTTTTAAGATTTAGAGATTAAAGTTGTAAATTTAGGAGAATAAAGTCATAAAGTAAATAAAGTCATAAAGCTGCTTTTGTGGAGGGGGAAATGACTGAAGCTGGTCATCTGCAGGGTTATCTGTGGATGTATCAGCGGGTCATTCAGAGAGATTTTGTGGTTTCTGAAGAAACAATCAAACTTATGATGATCAACATTTGTGATCCAGAGGGAGTCGAGCTCCGACGAGCACCACGTCTCTGACACCGGCCGTAGCCTACACCTGCAGCGACACCAACACCTTATTATGGTATATGGATTCATATCATAAACTAAAGCTCAATGTCATTCAAGGATATTTACGGCTGCATTGACAGATATATCCTCAGCATATTCATTTCTGCCTCCACAAAAGCAGCGATTTCCTTCAAGTACACCAGTTTTTTTCCCCGTGGAAAAGACGTATTTCTCATATATTCTTTTTTTAAAGTCTTTATACTTATGACAATGTGATGCTGATGGCCAGGAGTTTAGGCTGAGGAGGCGGCTAAAACGATCGATGCTACGTGTCAGTGTTGGAAGAGGGCCACTTATAAAAACAGTTTTGCCGCTGCACTGAAGGCTATCGAGAAGTGTCCTGAAGTCTTTTTTAGTCTGTTCAGACTGTTGGTGAGCCGTGTCATTGGAGCCAACGTGGACAATAATGCGGTGGATAGAGGCAGGAAGTGATTGGAGAAGACCGGGGAGTTTTGCTGTGATGTCGGCGACAGTTGCACCGGGGAAAGAGCGAGTGATGGCGTTAAAATAACGAATACCTCGTATGATGCTGTCACCGATGATCAAGGTGGTGGGGGGAAACAGCGGCGGGGGGTGCATGGCTGGTGCGAAGCAGGGCTGGTGGCCGGGGTACGGGGACTCAGCGGTGCGGTGGATGCCAGCGGCTGCGGGGCAGCTGAAGCGGGCCCGGCTGAGTTCCGTCGGACTGCCTCCCGGAGAAACCTCCTGCGGGCGGCCGAGGACGCGGGCCGGCTCTCCGAGCGGTGGTCAAGGCGGGTTCCGGGACACCGCGCGTGACCAGGGACCGACGGAGAAGGGTCCCCTCCGCCAGTGCCAGGCCACACGGGAATCCCACTGTACGCCGGTTCTTAGCACCAGCGACCGGTGACTCCCGGGAGCTGGTCGCCAGAAGAGCGGAGGCAACCCGGTCCTCGAGCCGGCACGCAGCGAGGGCACCGGAGGACGTGGACGAAGGCCCGGGGGCTCCGCCGGGTGGCCGTGTAGGAGCCCTGGGAGCTCCGGCAGCCGCTGTAGAGGACGCCACCACGTCATCGCCGAGAAGGGACTGGTCCATGCTGGTGTTTGCAGGCTCAGGAGGATTCATACTTTGACATTTTTTATCATACTATACTTTCCCTTTTTATCACACAATAAATTGATCCTTTTTATAATACTACAGTATGAAATTTTTTATCATTGTATACTATGACATTTTTGAACAAACTAGCCTATGACCTTATCATCATACTATACTATATATATTTTCACATTCTATCTATTACATTTTTTCATACTATACTATAAAAAATTTTATCATAGTATACTATCAAATATTTTTCATACTATACTATGTAATTTTTTATCACATTATACTATGACAATTTTTAATACACTATACTCTGACCTTTTTATCATACAATTCTGATGTTTTTATTATCCTTTTAGTTTATTATCCTTTTTTAATGTAAGAATACTATGACATTTCATATCATTTTTATAAAACAATACTTACTATATACTTATATTTTTTATCATATATATACAATGACATATATGACGTATATAATGACATGTATTAACAAACTATCCTATGACTTTTTTCATACTATACTATAACAATACTTGTCATAGTATATAAAAAAAAATTCATACCATACCATGTCATTTTTATCACTTTATACCATGACAATTTTTAAATTTTAATTTTTCTTTCATATTATGACTTTTCTTACATACTATACTTTGACATTTTTTATCATAATATACTATAAAAAAAATTCATACTATACTTTGTCATTTTTCATCACCATCTTCTATGACAATGCTAACAATTTTATGACAATTTTATGATACTATGACATCTATACTATCATACTATACTATGCCTTTTTTGTCATACTTTACTATGACAATTCTATCATACTATGACATGACATTTTTAATCATAGTATACTATGACATTTTTAAACATACTATCCTATGACCTTTTTTATCACACTTTACTATGACAATTTTGAATATACTATACTAGGCCTTTTTTATTCATACTATATTACAACGTTTTTGTTGACATTTTAATTATTTCATTATTGGCCTTTTCATCATACTATACTATGACTTTTTTGTCATATTTTGACAATTTTGATCATACTATATGAAGACATTCTGGCCCGAGCCAGCTGCAAAGCAGCCGGGCGTAGGCCCTATTGTTTTTCAAAAATTCTTCTTTCTTGTTGTTTCTTTCTTTCTTTCTTATTATTTTTCCTCCCCTTTAAAGGGGAAAATGGCCCACTTCCCACTGGCGAAAACTCATGAAATTTGGCAGGAAGACCAGGCCAGGGGCCTCATGCATCAACGCTGGCGGCGCCAGAAAACCTTGCGTCCACCAAGATCAGCGCACACGTCCAGATTTATCATTGCGACACGAGCGTTGGTTCCAGCGCTAATCAACGCAAAGTGAGGAGGTGGTGTAGAAGTTGGCGTTGAGCCGATACTTGCATTGACGGCACTTTGGCGACGCTGTGTGGCGGTGTTTGGTGACTCACCATGTGACAAGCGTGCACCACATCCCCGTGGCCGAGCAGCACGTCGCCCCACATGACGAACCAGCAGCAGACGGAGGGATGCGAGCTGATCCCTGCCGGGCCGCCGTCCTCGCGCGGGAGAATCTCATCGCCACAGTGTGAATGGGTAAGAAGTGAATACACAGTTCAATGAGCCAAATTAATTTATTTTCGCCACCAGACGCTCGAGGACATTTACGAACCGGTCCAGGACCCTTCCACTGCGTCCGGGTGGTCCAGCGGAAGCGCCGCAGCTGGTGGACGCTCCACCGCTTGTCGGCGCGCTGGTGCTGATGCTGGTGCTGGGGCCAAGGGGGCCGGGGTGGCCCGAATGCCGCTGGTCCTGGCCGACGACTCCGAGCCGGCGGACAGGCTGCGGCGGGCCGGGGTTCCGCAAGCCGGCGACACGGCCGACACATTGATTTCTGTGACACAATAAAAATATTGGTTCATTTCAATTCCTGCTTCTGTGTATCTGTTGTATCTGCTATTTACATCTCTCTCCACAGTATCATAGGTAATGTAAACCAGTATTTAGAGGTCAGTTATGCACATTACAGTTGTTTATTGCATAAAATGTTACCGAAAAATGAGGTTAAGGGGGAAGTATAAATCACGTCTAAAAATAGACTGAATCCCGAAGTTGAAATGAAGTATAAACTTAGACTAGACGTCTGATATACGTCTTTTGCTCAGTGAGATGGCAAAGCATGTGGACATTTGTGTGACACGCCACTTACCCTATAATAATAATCGCCACCACCCGCTGCTCAAACGGCGTGAGGGTCTCCTCCCCCGGAACCCCACCTGTCTGGCCGGTACTCCTCCGGAGGGCAGCTGTACGCCGCTTGACCTCCACCTTGAGGTCCGACCACTTTTTTTTAATCTCCGCGGGGGTGCGTGTCTCGGAACCCACCGCGTTCACCCTCTCGCAAACTTTCTCCCACTCCAAGCGTTTTCGTTTTGCACTGACGCCACTGGACAGGCTGCCAAACAAAACACGCTGTCGCTCCTCCACCTCCGCCACCAGCACCTCCACCTCACAAGCTGTAAATGTAGTTTTTCTTGTCATTTTGTCTGCGTGCGAGGACAAGGAGACTCAATTTAAATAAATCTGCATATTTATAGGAGGGCGTAACGGGGGCGGGCCCGGTCACTCCGACATCTGCGCTCAATTCCAAGCTGATTGGGATTTATCAAGGAAACACACGTGGATTTCGGCGCCCGCACACATTGATACATACGGATTTTTTTCAGCGTGACGGACCTTGCGTGCGCTTGTTTCTGGTATGAGTCCCACGCAAGTGTTGATACATGAGGCCCCTGGTGAAATATTCGATATTCTGAAGTCGCACAAACAATAAAATGCAAAATGGCTCCATAGCGCTCCCTAATGTGAAAATTCACATTATTTAGTGTCACACCTGTACGCTTTGTCATTCTGACACAAAATTTGACAATCAAGTGTATCTCAATAAGATCTACGAAAAAGTCAGTGCGCGCATATCTGTCAAATGTACGGTTAAAGGGCTATTTCGCATTTTTTGCCGATTCGCACACATTGGAATGTGGCTAAGTCCTCCTAAGGCTTTCGTCCCATCGGCACCAAATTTGCTCAGGCCAATCTAAACCCCATGGCCATTCAAAGTTATACAAATCATGACGCTGCAACCCATGGTTTAGGTTCAAGGGGGCGCCAAAGATGACCCAAATATCCACATTCTTACAGAAGCAAACGGACATGTTCCGACTGGCAGTTAAAATCATGAACAAGAAAATGAAAGTCAGAAGGAGGAAAATAGGCACGTCTATTATCATTATCATTATTATTATCATTCAATCGGTTTCATCCTTCAAACATTCCTGATGAAGAGGTGCAATGCTTGGTGATTGTTCTTCAGGCTTCTGTTTCAGATTCTGGGATGTTTGGTTGTTTCGAGGAACTTTTTCTCCAAGAGGGATCTCCATCGGTTTCTGTAGAAGAGAAATTTACGTCGGTTAAACTCTCAGATATTCTCACCAGTTTATGTAAACAGAAAAGTCCATTCCTGAGGAGAAAATTTCAGTTTATGCAGACTGATCTGACCCTATATCTTAAGATTCTGGCATATCTCACCTTCAGTAGTCTTGCATGGTAAGCGTTATCGTCCTCGTTCTCTCCTCTCTGCTTGTCCACCTGGTATCGATCACAGACTAGGGTCAGCTCTGGCAGGTCGTAGAGCAGCGCCGGGTCCAGGGGTGAGTGTTTATCAGGCTGACCAGGTACTCTTTGTAGTGCTTCCTGCAGAAACAAACAGGGTTTTTGTTAAAGACGTAAGGGATGTAGGCCTTACCTGATAAAGATGCCGGCTTTTAAAGACCAGCAGTACCCTACATGAGATACTTTACACTTTGGCCACAGGGGGCACTAAAGTCCACCCACACTAAGTCATTCCCAGCTGCTGACGCTAAAAGCTAAAAGGAGGATTGCACAGATGTTTTTCCTGGATGTTCTTTGTTTTGAATCTGCAGATCGTCTTACATTAGATTTAAGGTCATTCAAAAGTGTTAAAAAATCAAAGATACTTCAATAAAATGTGTCTTCTTCATTCTCCTAAACAGCTGTCAGAAAAAGAGCTGTGACCCAAATCCCACACACAGATTGTCCTCAGATGCTCCTCAGATGACCTAACAGAGAAAAAATTTGTTTTTTTTTCCAGAGGCATGGCCGACTCCAGACCCCCCTCAAAGAGAAAATGACTCTGCAGGCAGAGAGGAAAAGTTTAGGACCCTCAGGAGCGAGGGCTCTCCTTCCTTTTCTGCTTCAAAATCATTAAACCGCAGAGATTTTATTGATTTATTTTGGTGGTTTGTAGACTCTGATTCATTCAGCACACAGACTTTACTGTCCAAACAGGCTGAAAAAAAGTCTTGCAGGTAAATAAAGTTCAGCTGTTTGACTAAAATATTTTTGTTAAGTAGAGACATGATAGTTTGGATTCTGATCAATAAAAGCTTGGTAACTTTGAAAAACAAAAAAGTTCTCACAGCAGGACTTTTAAAAAAAGACAGTTCTTTATCTTACCTGGGAACTGTTTGGATAAAAGTGAGCAGTTTGGTTATGATGCCAAAGTTAAAGCACTTTTCCCCTGTAAAAAATCTTGAGACACTTTTTATTTATTTTGAGTGTTGTGTGTTTTATAATTTGCGATCTTGTTTACGAGGTCTAGTCCTTTTTCAACAGACTCACATCATTTCAGGCAAACTCTAATGTATAAGGCTTGTTTTAATTCAGTAATCTCTTCAATGTGAACGACACAGCGTGAGAGATAAGTAGGACCTAACTTTGCTAACTTCAAAACAAATCACCTGGTTTTCATATTTCATCAGATCTCTAAAAGTAGGTCAATGGCTCTAGAGTTCCCGGTCAAAAACAGACAAACACTCACTCGCAGAGTCCGGCCTGTCCCGGCTGTGTTTAGATCCCACAAGGTGAATTGATCTGCTGACCCGCTTCGTCTTTCTGTTCCATCACACAGCAGGACTTTTAAAAAAAGACAGTTCTTTATCTTACCTGGGAACTGTTTGGATAAAAGTGAGCAGTTTGGTTATGATGCCAAAGTTAAAGCACTTTTCCCCTGTAAAAAATCTTGAGACACTTTTTATTTATTTTGAGTGTTGTGTGTTTTATAATTTGCGATCTTGTTTACGAGGTCTAGTCCTTTTTCAACAGACTCACATCATTTCAGGCAAACTCTAATGTATAAGGCTTGTTTTAATTCAGTAATCTCTTCAATGTGAACGACACAGCGTGAGAGATAAGTAGGACCTAACTTTGCTAACTTCAAAACAAATCACCTGGTTTTCATATTTCATCAGATCTCTAAAAGTAGGTCAATGGCTCAAGAGTTCCCGGTCAAAAACAGACAAACACTCACTCGCAGAGTCCGGCCTGTCCCGGCTGTGTTTGGATCCCACAAGGTGAATCGATCTGCTGACCTGCTTCGTCTTTCTGTTCCATCACACAGCAGGCGTCTGAATCACAGAGCAGGACACAAAGTCAGAAATTCAGCTCATATCTTCTTTTTCTTTATCGATGAATTCATCAAAAACAGGCCTTTAGGAACTGAAGACAAGGAGGTTGAGTATGTTTAAAGTTTCTCAAAAAAGAGGCTCACAAAACTTTTATAAACCAGTTTATAAAATTGGATCTAACTCAAGTTTTGTATTCAAGCTGTTCCAGGATTTCAAGGACATCCTTGAGCCTTGACAAAACAAAATACAGGTATGAATATGAATGTGGTCAATCAGTTACTTTACTCCCTGAACGTAATAAAAACAGAGGTAGATGAGGAGTATCAGCTGATAGATAAGAGTCAGTTTTACCTGTTTGAGCTCCGTCTGATGGATCTATGTTGAACTCCACACGGCTCCTCTGAGAAGACAGAAATATAACCCATAAATAAAAATATGCTTTTAGTTTAAATCCCTGTTTAATTTAAGCTTCTAACAAAGAGCTCATCAGGTAATATTACTAATATTGGTACCCTAGTCCAATGAAGGGCATGTTCTGTTAAAACACAGTAAGAGCTCCACATACAGACACTCAGACTTGCACGTACATAGCTTTGCATCATGCTGCAGGCTCTAATGCTACACATGAGAGTGTCTTTACCTGCAGCAGGGCCTGCAGCCTGGCCGGCTCCCAGTCTCTGAGGTAGAAGAGACAGTCTCTGGGGTGATGAGCATGCAAACCCTTAAATTTACACTGAGGCGTCTTACAAACAGTCTGCAAAAAACACAAAACAAAGACATAAAATAACAGCAAGGGGCAGCTGGTGGTAAAACTCAGCCACCTGTTGGTTAATGCTAAAGTAAAGTTAGCTGTTGTTTATAAAAATCAGCATCAACAGGGGATTTTTTTTCTGCATCCTAATAATTTTTCCGTTCGACTCTAGAAAAACGGTGTGCTTTTTTGAATGCCACATATTCCTGGAGGCAGCAGAATAAAATCATGCAATTTGGTCATTTAGAAAAAAAACACTGTGCCCTTCCTCGTGTCATATGTATAAGTAAGTCTTTCACCTAGTGGTAGGGGTTGTTGCAGCCGCTGCAGAACTGGTATCTGCACTGAGAGCAGCTGAAGTGCATGCAGCCTCCTTTAGTCAGAGCGTACTGGAACCGGCAGTGAGGACAGGCTGCGAGACCACAACACAAACTGAGAAATCTACTCACTTCAGACAAAAACATCTTGAATACATTTATTTGATGCAAGAAAATAAATGAGGCCTTAATCTTAATAGACGTGTGTTTTCAAGATTGTTTTTGAGGCCTTGTGAATCAGCTGATTACAAAACTGTGAAATGGGAGATGACTAAATGTGTTTTTGTTGGAGTGGTGACATTAGAAAGTAAAACAAAGCTTGTTTAATTTAATTTATTCATTTCAGTAGCGAGGGAGTGAAGTTTTTGTCCTCACTGATGCCGTTGTCTCGGAGGTATCCAGCCAAACCCTGCCTCTGGTACTCTGGGTCGTTCTCCCTCTTCCACTGCTGGAACTGCTCACAGGACAGATCCTGGTGCTGAGGCTCCCACTGACAGGAAAGGAGGAGAGGAAGGGAGGATTATAGGATGCAAACTCCCTCTCAGGGAGGAGATAGAACTTCAAGGCAGAATTCTTGAGATTCAGTAAATCCTACAGCATCTAAAAGATGGTGAAATAGATGAAAATGGGTCTTTAAACTCACGGGTTTCTTACACTGAGCACAGAAACTCTTCTGACAGGACAGACAGGTGACTTTCAGCTGGTCTCCTTCATTGATGGAAGAAAACTCCATCATTAGTTTTTTAAATCAGAACTGTAGATTAATTTCAAGCCATTTTTGTCTCTGGTTTACTGTATACATTACGTTTTTTCTCCTCATTTACAAGCTCTAATGCGCACAGGCTCATGATGACGGTTAGACTACTGGTGTTATGATGTTAACGGTGATCCAGCATACTGGCGACTTCCTGCTGAATTACGATATCCCCAGTTTACAGCGTCACATATTCAACCGTAACACTGTGCGCTTCTTAACATCGTATTGTTAAGGTGACCATACGTCCTCTTTTAAACAGACATGTCCTTTTTTGGGGGGTTATCTGGCCTATCAGTGGGAAGTTTATAAAATCCTTCAAATGTCCGTTTTTTTTATGAAAGTTTTGAGTTTGTGTAGTGTAGATTAATTGATTTAGAAGCATGTAAAAAAAAAACACTTGACCGACCTGAAAAACACTCAAAATTTTGTGCCCAACTCCGCCCTGTGTATCAGTGTCCTCCTTTTGGGGATTCAGAATAAGGTCATCCTATTTAACTGATAACGTCGGCTTATCATTGCAGTCCTAGTTTTTTAGTCTGATCAGTTTATTATCCACCAGCCTGCCTGTTGGTCAAAATGTCCATGAGGATCCTGACCATCTCTGCCCTCCTGTTCTCAGTGTTTATCTGGTCCTCTGTACAGGCTATGGTCATACAAGGTAAGTACAAATTTATCCCCATAACATATTACAACGGATTCAACTGCATTACATGATTACTGCAGTTTTCATCGAGTTGTTCATCGAGTTGTGACAAACTTTTGTCATAAGATTTTTATCCCTAAACATTGGGACAGTGTCACCATTTTAATTAACACCACCTCGGAGGTTTTGAAATGACTATATCTTGTGCTATCAAATGCTAAAATTTAATAAAGATGAATAAAGAAGAGTTATTTTACCGTTTTTTAAAGAATGAAAAACAGGAACTGAAATTTCGTCACTTTTTGTTGTTTTTACTGGTTTGGGAAATCATCACACCTCTTTATAACTTTTGTTTTTTCATTCTTTTGTCATTGTTTTTCTTTTATCTTTTGGTTGTTTTTTGTCACATTTAACTCATTTTATTCCTCTTTCCTCTTATTCCTCAAATATTTTGGCAGTCTAACTTTTTTAATTTCCTTCCCGTTTCTGTCATTTCACCTTTTTTGACTATCTAATCATTCATTTCTAATATCTGTCTTGCTGTTGAATCACCAGTTATTTTTAAAGTTTTAGATCTTTAGTCTTAGTTTCCTCACAGTTTTTCATTTTCTTCACTTTGTTTAATTTTTGGAGCACTTTGTAACCCTATTTTGGAAAACAAAAGTGTATTATTATTATTATTATTATTATTATTATTATTATTATCACTACTAGAGGTTCAGGCTGATCTGTCTTATTCACATGAGGACAACACTTAAAATGAATAAAATAAAGTCCAGAACCTCAGTGACCATTCCACCTGACATGAACACCTTGTAGGAAGCAGTTCTTTAAAATTATGGCAGAATGTTGATCCTTCAGCAGCAAACATTTGGAGATATTTAGAAGCTTACTGATGTCACTGAATCATATCTGAGTTTTACTCTCAAGGTTTGGAAAAGTCAATCATGTTTTGATCTCCTTTAGCAGCAGCTGCTGCGTTCCTAAAGATGTTGTAACATCACTGCCTCTGTGTGTTTGTCACTATACAGATCAATGCTGTATCGAACCTGACCCTGATATACCTCTCAGGATTACAGAGTGCATCAAACAGAGACGGTTTGAGTGCGAGTATACTCACTTTATGTAAGTACAGCATGCTTTACCCATGTTAATCAAAGTCAAGTCAAAGTCATTTGATCTGCTAAAACACAAGCTAACGACTCATATTTAATGACAGGAATTAAAGACATTGCTTAAAGCCAATTTTAAAATCATGTTCAATGTGAGAGGACAATAACTTCTTAAGTAAAATGTACAAAATACATTGAATCTGACCATGAAGGTGTTTTTCTTGAGCAAACTGCCCTGATCAAAGCTGAATTATGACCCTTAAGGAGTCTATAACCAGGTTTCACATGTCCAACAAGTCTGTCCTTCATTGAAACCTGATAGAAGATTTTTGGGGGTTTTATCCCTCACAGAAGTAAATGTTTTGCTGACTAAACACTAAGTTAAGCGAGTACACTCTTCAACTGAATCCCTGATTGCTTCTGACTCCAATCTGATAACAGGTGATCTATGTGACACAGCTCATATGTGATTAAAAATGCTTGACTGTTTGAAATCATCAACAGAAGAAAACTGATCTTCAGGAGTGAGCCTATCGAGGATCAATGAACAAAGATGTTGTAAAGTTTTATTCTTTCTGTCTGCTTTCAGAGTTAAGGATGAGGGTGGCAGATGGTTCTGTATTGACTCTGAGTCAAAGTGGATGAAACAGCAAGTACGGGAGGTAAGAATCAGTCTTTCAGCCTCTCTTTTAGCCACATTAGTTACTCTGTCATACCCTACCTGGGCAGTCAATCATGTCTGAAGCAGTTCATCAACATGCTTTGTCATTTGTGTTACAACAGCAGACTGTGTAAAAGCAGACAAGCTCCAGCAAAGGGAAGCAAAAACATCTAGCACTTCCTCTACTGGCTGGCTGCAGTTTAGGTCAATCCCCTAAAACATACTTTGTCATTACAGGCAGCTCTCATTCTGTTTATATGTCCATGTAGGGTTTTACAAAACAGACTTTGAACTTAAATATGATTCTAGTGAAAAGAAAATTATGTCAATTCTGTTTTTTTAATGTCATGGCAACAAAAATCAACTCCTGGGCATTCAGGGTTGCTTAATTTCGTCATTTTGGATTTCCAACCCACACACTGTGTTTGTTCAGAAGAGTTCTTTTAACAAATCTCTACATTAAATATGATTAAAAAAAAATTACTGTAAGACAAAATGAATAATGCTCTCATTCCTCCTGACTCCACAGGGAACTGTAACCTGCATTGGATTCAGTTGATGTGGAGAAGTGAAAACAATGAGGACTACTCTGCTGATGAAGCAAATAAAGAAAATATGAAATATGACTAAGTCCTGATTTTGTACAAGTTCACTGCAGTCGTACAGCGTTATGCTGGTACTGTGTGGATGAGTATTTCTGTGCTGAGTACACTGAACACCTTAAAACATTGAGGTTACTGTGAGTGAAGCTCTAACATTTAAACTCAATAAGGAAATAACATCACAACTACACAAGTGATAAAATAGGATGACCATACGTCCTCTTTTACTCGGACATGTCCTCTTTTTGGGGTCTGTCCGGCCTGTCCAAGAGGAGTTTATAAAATCCTTCATATGTCCGGCATTTCGTATGAAGTTTTGAGTTTGTGGAGTGTGGACTTACTGAGTTAGAAGCACGTAAAAAACACTCAAACTGACCCGGAAAACCCTCAAAATTTTTCGTGCAACTCCGCCCCGCTTCGTGTGTCTCCTTGTTTAGGATTCAGAATAAGACCACCCTCGTATTGTTGACTAGCAGACGTAATTTAAACACAGATGCCAACATAAATATGAATACTTTCAAAGAACTTAACTATCAAGTTATCAATGTGATGGTTCAAACATTTTTCTTACCCCGTCGTATCTGAGATTTTTAAACTCTAATGTTTAACAAATGCAGGCTGTCAAATGTAAAGGAATTAGTTAGGGTTCGGTCTATTATCTGGCTTTTTCGTAGCTTTTGCCTTTTTTATTATCATTTTAACCTTTTTCCAACTGCTAAACTATAAATAATCTGTTTCTTAATTTGCCATACAAATAAAGGTATTAGTTTTGCCATTATGAGTTATTTAAATAAGTATAAATCTACTTTTCTGCTCTTCTTTTGTGTGTGTTCTTCTTTTAATCTTCTTTAATTACTCTGTAAAGCACCCCTAATTACCTGAGAGTGTGGTATGTACAAACAAAGCCGCCCTGCCCTGTCCGCAAATATCGTCGTCATCATTGTTGTTAATAAGGGTGTTGCCAGGAGAGACTAATTAACAGGATTATGATCACATTAATCTCCTTTCAAAGATTATATATTAACTTAAAAGTACAAAAGAACAGTTAATGGAATGTCAAAACAGAAAAAGGGCCTCATTTAAACAGACTTTGTGAATAATTATGCTAATAAATGTTTAGATTTATTTGAAAAATATTAAAATCACCTGTTTTTTTTCCCTGAGGGTTTGCGTATGTGGCATGTCGTGTCACTTTTGCAAGAACTGCATTACACTTTTACGCTTCAGCTGAAGAATTCAGATTTATGAGAGCTGATAAAGGGAGAAGGAACGATCTGGTAGACAGTTTTATGACGCTGAGAAGCACTCACATGATAACACCAGAGGAACTTTGGGTCCTTCATTAGAGCCTGCTCTGTCAGCTTCTTGTGAAACAGGTCATACACGTCAGACTCCAGGCAGATCCGCAGCTGCAGAAAAAAGATATTTGACATATTACTTATTCCAACTCATAATCAATATTTACTCTCAGTACACAAAGTCTTTATTCATACCTGTATGTCCATAGTGGAGAAGTAGCTGTCCATCAGTTCCGGGTCGTTGATGTCCGGCCCGCTGCAGACGGGACACACCATGTCCCTGATGTGTTTGTCTCTCACTGCGATGGTGAAGTGCTGCCTGAAGCAGTCGTGACACACGGAGCACTGACAGGAAGTCAGAGACTGCATCTAAAAACAAGAAGAAGAAGAAGAAATTAAGAAGAAATGCGGATTAATCTGAAGGTACTGTGTTGTAATGATGTCAAATACTTCGGTGTTAGCCACACAAGGCTTTAAAGGCCCCCCTCTCTGACCCACCTTGCTGCGGGGGAATATGCACAGGCAGCAGGGACACTCGTTGTTGAGGAGACGTCTGATGAAATCTTTGTCCAGAGACTCTTTCACAGCTTGCACCACAACCTCCAGGGAATATGAGACGTCTGGCTCCTGAAGCAGTGCAAGGACAAGCTCACAGCGCCCCCAGCTGGGCAGGTCGTACAGTGCCAGCAGCCGTCTGCACATCCTCTGTGACAAAGCACATAAAGAGTTACACACCTGTTATCAAAACACCACAACTGAGCAAACACAAACAGCCTCGATGTGATCTCAGTTGAGATCTAACCTGTTTGTCCGGTTGTTTGGGATCGATCGGTGGCTCCTGCTGGTCAGCCCAGATGCGCTGGTGGAATTGCTCCAGGAGGGGGCGCTGCAGCAGAGACAGAGCTCCCCTCACCTCTCCTCCGCTCTGACACAGGGCCTCCTCGCACTGCAGCACGTCTCTGAAGCCCAGAGAGTGCAGCTCCTTCATCTGTACACACACACACACACACACACACACACATACGCACACATACAGAGTTATCGGTCTATCTACAAAACTGTACAATGACTGGAACTCATAAAAGGAGTTTTGTTTGGAGTCAAATTCCTCCTGACAACCCTGACCTCTGAAGAAGGATCACACGTCAGACTCCAGCAGAAACCCTCCTGTCCCGGCTTTCCCTCTCTCTCTCTTCAAGATGTTGCTGCATGGATCAAAGTCAGTTATCCTGACTTTCCTCCTAACCTACTGCAGACATCAATCCACCTGGATGGACCCTGGTGTCAGATGTGGTGTAAACGCAATGAATCCTCAAAGAGGAAACCTGCAGCAACTGAGTACCAGATCTTCTAGGAGACTTATCTTTTACCCACCGTTCAGTTTCTTTGTTCTCTCGCTGTAGTTTCTAAATCAAACTAATAAACCGGGTCAAAAGGGTCAAATGGCACTCCTACGTTTCCCTCACAGACCCTCTTTGTTCTGAGTTATCTTTCAAGGTCAAAAAAACAGGAGGTATAAGCGTGACTCCCTGATCTCTTAGCGTCTTACTTCATCTGTAGGACGCTGCAGGAGTTTATTGGTATCACTTAAAAGGTCACTCAGGGGAGCAAATAGACCATGAATTTCTGTGTGTCTGATGAGAATGAACTTTGTTTGGCAGGAAAATGTGTTTCTCGGTCGGGTTTAGCTCTTCTCTCTTCCTTGTTCTTACCTTCAGCTGTCTGTCCCTCAGCAGCTGCCTCACGGCTCTCTCCGTGTCTCCTCCAGCAGCTAACCACGCCAGCTTGGCCTCGGCTCTCGACAGCTTCTCCCCTCCGCCTGTGAGGTTCAGTGTGCCCTGCTCAGCTTCCCCTCCGTCTTTCTCCACCTCAGGTTGTATCCCAGAGCCCCCTGCTTTGTAGTTCAGCTGGACAGAGGCCACCATAGCGCAGATTTCATCCAGCAGGTGAGGCAGCTCCGAGGTCAGCCAATCACAAGGGTTGCTGCCGCCGCACATGCAGATGGCGGCATACACCTCCTCGGGACTGACGCCGCGTTTTTCTGCTTCCTGTGAGGAGATACAGGATGAGTTTTTAACAAGTTCTCTTCCAGGTCGAGGTGAACTAAACTTATCAAACCTGACATCTAGATTTGACGCTTTTTGGTCGTGTACTTATAGTTTTAATATTTTTGTGATGTGTTGGTCCAACAGTTTCTGGAATTAGACCTCAGACTTTTTCAGACATGATCTACTCTGATCTGGCCGATGAGATTCAGGCCTTCATCCCTCATCATCTTCTGTGTCCTCATCTCCAGGTTGATTCTGGGTTTCGGTTGGGGTTTGATCCCCCGCTGAGGCTGATCTTTAATGCTGGGTGTCGGGGTCTGCTGCAGAGACTGGGGCAGAGAAACTCCAGCACTGTCTCTGCACGGCTGGTTACACATCTCACAGACCAGAGCGGGATTTGTGTTCTCGAAGGTTCAGAACTGACACATCCACTACCAAAAGGGAAAAAAAATGCAAAATTACACATTTTAGGAAAGAAAGAAGACAGAAGTTCATGGAAAATTCTTGAGTCAGGCTGTGAAGATTCATAGGAAAAAAATCACTCTTATAGCTCTGTTTTCAGTCTGCACCAACTCTTCGAGGAAACATCTGACGCTTATGAAGCTCAGTCCTCTGATTTATACCTCTGCAGTTTCCTGAGAGCTTATTTCAGAGTTTTAAAGATTTTTCCCTCTGTAAAAAAGCTGTGAAAAACCAAGCAGTGAAGTTGTTGCTACTTTAAGAAAACATAAAAATCTGATTCAGGTTTTAATTTGAAAGAAACTGGCTAAATACTGTCTTTATAGCCTGAAATAATTTCAAATTGAGAGATTTATCTGCAGCAGTGAGACAGACCTTTGCTCCAGACTCAGACAGAGATCCCAGACTGGACAGGAGTGATGCAGCAGGCGGACAGGTGGCCAGACGAGGGCGCTCACACACCTCACAGAGGATGCTGCTGCCTTGATTTACCACCGTGCAGCTCTTACACTGCCACTCTGAGGGATCAAACACAGATATTCACATACTAGAAAGACACGTCACTTCTTTACTTCCAAAAGCAGACATATGAGGCTTATTGCTGTCAAATATAATGCAGGAAAATCAAAATTTTGCATATTTTTTAAAAAACTATATTTTTCCTGGTTTTATTTGTTTGATTTGCTAAATTATCACTTTTTACCCTTGTACTCTTTATCTTTGTTGCTAAAGGTGCTGCTTAAAATGAATTTATCTTGAGATAAACTTGAGTCAGACCTGTGTTGGGTGATGTAGAAACTGAAATGAGGCTCTCTTGAACGTTGGAGGCAGCTGTGGCGAGTCGAGGTCGTTCACAGGTTGTGCAGAGGACGGCTCGCATCTCGTTGACTGTGGTGCCGTGAGCGCACTCCTAGGGGGACAGAGATGGACTGACAGGGACAGAAAAGCAGAAAATTTACTCCAATGACAACAGTTTCGTTTTTTTGCTTTGGCCCTTTGTGCACCAAGAACGATAGAAAGCAGTGAGACAAATCTAAAGAAACACCGTTAAATTAAAAAAAGACTAAATTTAAGAACGAATGGGACATAAAACTCAAAGAAAAGTTGAACTAAAGTCTAATTTACACTTTTTGCAGAAAATGTATTTGACTTAAAATCTATATTTTAAGACCAAAAATTGTAAAATATGTGAAAGAAATTAGGTATAGAGAATCTTTGTGCAGCAAAAAATATTTAAAATCTTGGTAATTACACAAAAATAATCATTGCATGTTACTTCAGACAAAAGATACAGCTTGATTGCTTCACAAAGACTGAATATCTGAGAATAAAAACAAGGATCAAACGCCACAATAATGAGATAGACGGTACAAACCACATAAGAGTTGAAATTCACAATATCAGACTAGAAATTTGATTAATTTGATGAAAACTCAGTCACCATTTGACCTTCTTCTTCCTCTCTGTTGTCAACCCACATGAATTAACTGACAGTGAATCATTTCCGAGTTCCTGTTTCTCCTCACCTGGACGTTTTAGCCGCCGTGATGATGTTCCTGTTGTGATCTCTGCGGTCGGGGTGGGAGTGGAAAAGCTTGTCACAGTTCAGACACAGCCCCTGAGCACAGGTGAAGCACTGAGCGTACAAGGGAGAAATCCCACAGATGCTGCAGGTCTCTGCGGGAAACAAGTCCATGAAAATTCCAATCCGTGGCTCATAGAGTCACTAAAACTGTCTGAGAACCAGGTCTAAAAAAGAGAAGTGCAACTGTGTTTTAATGTGTCGTACCTTGTTTTGTTTTCTGTAGTTTGTCTCTCTTGTGATTGGCTCTTGCAGGATGACGGTGAAAGAAGTCATCGCATGCATCACAAAAAGGCTTCTTGTCACAAGACGGGCAAACCAGGGATGACGGTCCACCACACAAGTTACACTCCCCCACGGTAAGAGAGCCTGCAGGAAATAAAGACTGTGACCTGTGCATCAGTCAGAGCTACTTCAGACAGCAGGAAAGGTTATTAAGACAAGACTCAGAGGAGCAGGAGGAGCTGTAGGACCTGTTGGTGGTGTCTGAGGTCGTTGACCTCCGGTGCTCTGGGTGAGTGAGGGCGTCAGAACCTGTGGGACGTCCCTCTTTGGGAGATCCTCTTCAGACAGGATGGGCACAGCGTCAGCTACAAGCGTATCCTAAACAAACCAGAATCACAGTCAACACTTCAGGACACCATCATTTAGAGAGAGAGAGAAAACCCATGACGGCTACTCTGGTCTGTCTCAAGTTTGCAGTTAAACAGCCTGTAAAAATGTACACACCTTTTGGATGATGGATGGGGTGATATCTTTGAAGTGCTCTGGATGAGGATGGGTGCCCTAAAACGAAGACATGTACAAGTTTCTATCAAGACTTTGGCTCACTCCACATGTTTAAGGTCATTACCTGCAGGAGCATGTCCACCTCAGCGCGTAAGGTCATGACCTCAAACGTCAGCACAGCTACTTTTTCAGAGTCTGGTTCAGCGACCTCATCCGGGAAACTGAGGCCGTCGATCTGCTGGTTGGTGTAAACATACAGTTACAATACTCTTCGACCGCCCTAAAGAGGGAAAACTTTGATTAAAATCGAGTTTTTAAATCATCTCAGAGTCGGTTTAAAGCTCTGCCAAATCCACCCTGAAGGATTTTCTGATGTGTCACCTTGATCGAATCCACTGTCCTTTTGAAGGTGGGGTTGTTAGGGCCCGAGCCAGCTGTAGAGCAGCCGGGCGAAGCCCTCTTGTAATTCGACAATTCTTCTTTCTTCTTAGGGCCCGAGCCCAGGCTGCAAAGCAGCGGGGCGAAGCCCTATTGTTTTTCGAAGGGTTCTTCTTTCTTTCGTTAGGGCCCAAGCCTAGCTGCAAAGCAGCGGCAAGAGCCCTATTGTAATTCGAAAATTCTTCTTTCTTTCTTTCTTTCTTATTATTAGGGCCCGAGCCTAGCTGCAAAGCAGCAGCGAGAGCCCTATTGTATTTCGATTGGTTCTTCTTTCTTTCTTTTTAGGGCCCGAGCGTAGCTGCAAAACAGCAGCGAGAGCCCTATTGTAATTCGAAAATTCTTCTTTAGGGCCCGAGCCAGCTGCAAAGCATCAGCGAGAGCCCTATTGTAACTCGATGGGTTTTTCTTTCTTCTTTCGCATTAGGGCCCGAGCCTAGCTGCAAAGCAGCAGCGAGAGCCCTATTGTAATTCGATGGGTTTTTCTTTCTTCTTTCGCATTAGGGCCTGAGCCAGCTGCAAAGCAGCCGGGCGAAGCCCTATTGTAATTCGATGGGTTCTTCCTTCTTTCTTCTTTTTAGGGCCCGAGCCTAGCTGCAAAGCAGCAGCGAGAGCCGGTAAGACCGGGCCTGGTGAAGCAGCGAGAGCCCTATTGTAATTCGATGGGTTCATCTTTAGGGCCCGAGCCTAGCTGCAAAGCAGCAGCGAGAGCTCTATCGTAATTCGATGGGATTTTCTTTCTTCTTTCTTATTATTAGGGTCCGAGCCTAGCTGCAAAGCAGCAGCGAGAGCCGGTAAGACCGGGCCTGGTTAAAATTTGATATTCTGAAGTCGCACAAACAATAAAATGCAAAATGGCTCTATAGCGCCCCCTAATGTGAAAATTCACATTTTTGAGTGTCACGCCTGTACGCTTTGTCATATTGACACAAAAATTGACACACATGTGTATCTCAATAAGATCTACGAAAAAGTCAGTGCGGGCATATCTGTCAAATGTACGGTTAAAGGGCTATTTCGCATTTTTTGCCGATTCACACACATTGGAATGTGGCTAACTCCTCCTAAGGCTTTCGTCCCACCGGCACCAAATTTGCTCAGGCCAATCTACACCCCATGGCCATTCAAAGTTGTACAAATCATGACGCTGCAGCCCACGGTTTACGTTCTAGGGGGCGCCAAAGATGACCGAAATATCCACATTTTTAAAAGTCTTATAACTTTTTATTTTTGTCCTCACTGGCCTCCAAGTTTTCTAGGATGATGCAATGTCCAGCCATCAACACATTTGTGAAGGAATTTTTTCTCCCCAAAAGAGCGCCCCCCCATGGCAGGAGAAAAAGTCAAGTTTTTCCTGCCCATCACTCAATGGCTCAAACGCATCGCTCTCCCGGCAAAAGGGGGAGCAACTTGCCATTTGGATATATCCTAGCTGTGTTTGTGCCCTCACTCATGGTCCAGACTTTTTTCAAATAGGACATGTAGTTTGTCTGCAGCGAGCGTTTTGGTAGAAACTGCGCCTCCCATTCATTATAATGGGAAATGACCAAAGACAGGTGCGCACACCATCTTTGGACCTTGACTGTGACGTTACAGTTTGAGATACAAATGTTATTTGACCTCTGACCTTTGGTGGAGACCCTACCCTTTCAACCCGCAAAAACAGCGTTTCAATAGCTCTTACGGCTTTCCTACAAATACACTTTGTTCGGCTGCTCCTACTGTCTTTCCAGCTCTGCTTCACAGATCATCAAAGAGTGTGCACGTGTGTAATGAGCGCATATTGAATGTTAATTATGTTAACTATGTTAATTATTAGAAGAAATAACAACAACAGTCTTTTTGGACAAAATTTCTTTTTATTACAGAATTAGAATAATGGAAGCATAGTACAATGAAACCATTCAAGTGATGTCATACCTCATAATTTATTAAGATGTTGGCAAGTCTGGGGATTTCTTCATTCATCAGGTTTCCTGCATGCATACAAACAGAGCACATCAGTAACAGTGAATGATAAGTATGAGTGTGTCATTGTGTAAGAAAAGAAAGTGGTTTACTTACACATCCATAGAAAATAGGTGGTTGAGCACAGCACGCAAACAAAGCTTTGCCACGACGGTGAAACTTCCCAAGTAGCCGATACCAAGGTCACACAATCATGGTGAGCAAAGGTCAAACCAGGCCAGGCACTCACCAGGCTGGCTGTGGCAAGTGTAAGTGAAAGCGACACGCACTGGCAAACGCAGATGAAGGAAAAGGGTCTTTGCAGTGATGGGCGTTACCAGAGAGGGCGATGGCCAAAGGACGCGAATGGGACGGGGAGGCGATCGCGTTGGGGGCGGCGCGACACGGCGAGGGCCCGACAGTGCCCCAACGGGGCCCTAGTTATATCATTGGCCTTTTTATCATACCATACTTTGACTTTTTGTTATACTTTACTCTGACAATTTTTATCATATTACACTGTGACATTTTTAATCAAAGTATATTATGACATTTTTAAACAAACTAACTTATGACCTTTTTATAATACTATACAATGACAATTTTTAACATACTATACGGTGCCTTTGTTTCATACTATCCTATGACATTTTTGTCAAAGTATATAAAGATAAAAAAAAATTCATACTATACTATGTCAATTTTATTATTATTATTATTTTTACTATGTTATGACTTTTTTGTCATACTTTACCACGACAGTTTTTATCATACAAAAATATGACATTTTTATCATAGTATACTATGTCATTTATAAACATACTATCATATGACTTTTTTATCGTACTATACTATGACATTTTAATTATTTATACGATCACATTTTTTCATTATACTATACTATGACATTTTATATCATTTTATATTTGGCCTTTTTATGATACAATACTTTTATTTATTTTATCAACTATATTATTACTTTTTTGTCATACTTTACTCTAATTCTCAATTTTATCATGCTTTTCTATGTCATTTTTATAATAGTTTACATTGACATTTTTTAACAAACTATCCCATGACCTTTGATCAAACTATGCTATCACAATTATTAACACACTATACTGTGACTATTTTTTCATACTATACTATGACATTTTTGGTCATAGTATACATTAAAAAAAATTTCATACTATACTATTTTATTTTTCATCACCTTCTTCTTTTACAATGCTTACATACTATCATATGACATTTTAATCATACTATACTAAAACTTTTTTATCATACTATACTATGACAATTATAAACGTACTATACTGTGACTTTTTTTCATACTTAACTATGACGTTTTCATTATTCATGCAATCACATTTTTCATCAAACTAGACTTTGATACTATTTATATAATTATATACTTGGCCTTTTTATTATACAATACTTTGATATTCTTTATCATACTATCCTATGACTTTTTTGTTATATTTTACTCTGACAATTTTTTATCAAACTATACCATGAAATGTATTTATCATAGTATACTATGACATTTTTAATACACTATCCTATGACCTTTTATCATATTTTATGATGTCATTTTTATCACTTTATATTATGACACTTTTTAATAAACTATACTATGACTTTTTTATCATGACATACTATGCCGTTATTATTATATAAACAATGACATTTTTTCGTTATACTATACCTAAACATTTTATATCATTTTTTTACTTGGCCTTTTTATCATACAATACTTTGATAAATTTCATCATACTTTAACATGACAATTTTTAACATTCTATACTGTGACTTATTTTCATACTACACTATGATGTTATTATTATTCATACGTTCACATTTTCCATTATACTATACTATGACATTTTATATCATTTTATAATTGGCCTTTTTATCTTACTATACTATGACTTTTTTGTCATACCTTTCTCTGCCAATTTTGATCATACTATACTATGACAATTTTTATCATAGTTTACTATGGCATTTTTAAACATACTATCCTATGACCTTTTATCATACTATACTATGACAATTTTGAACATACTATACTGTGACTTTTTTCATACTGTACTATGACATTTTTTGTCATATTATACTATAAAAAAAATGTCATACTATACTCTGTCATTTTTTTTATCACATTTTACTATGACAGTTTTTTACATACTTTACTATGACTTTTTTTCATACAATACTATGACGTTTTTATTATCCTATACAGTCACATTTTTTTTTTATTTTGTACTACAACATTTTATATCATTTTATACTTGGCTTTTTTATCATAAAATACTATACTATAACATTTTATATCATTATTTACTTTACTTTTTTACTTTTTACTTTTTATCATACAATACTTTGATATATTTTATCATACTATACTATGACAATTTTTAACATACTATACTGTGACTTTTTTTCATACTATGAAATTTTTTGTCATATTGGCTGGTTGCTGTAAAGTTGCTACAGTGTTCTGGTTGGTGCAGTACAACATGAAAGGTCAAAGCCACAAACTTGTAGTCAATCAGAACGCAGTATTCCCAGGACAATAACTCCTCGTGTTTTTCTTTCACTCAGATCTTTACAGAGGCTGTTCCTCAGAGTCTCTCATTACACTTTACAGAAGCCTCATTCACCTGACAGGCCCAGATATCCAACTTTATACCAGGATGGAATCAGTAACTATAGCTGATAGTGCAGAAGTGCGGTGGTCTTCATATGTTTCTAAAAATGAGTCTCATGTGTTGTTTCATGAACCTCTGAGGAAAAAAATGCTCTCTCTGCGCTGTCAGACATTTTTATTTCTGTATATCCTTCTCCGTAAAATCCGGAACTCAAGTCACACCTGTGTGCCAGGCTGAAGTGTAATGTTTCAAGTGTACCCCTGCTTTAAAACTCCCAGAGAATCCACCAAATCAACAATGTGCAATTTTTGTGTGACCGTGTAGCTCTGTCTAGTATCACCTGCTTCTAGCGTAGCTGAGCTCAGCTGAAGGCGGCTTTAAGTTGAGAGGTACACTCCTCTGTTCTGCAGTTAAACGCCTCTTTAAGTATTTTTGAGGGATTTTTGTATTTTAACAGAACTTGGTTATTCTGAAAGGTCTAGAAATGAGAAGTACCAAATCCTGCTGAGACTAAGGAACGTTCCTAGCATCACCTGTAGCCTCTGTGTGTGGCGCTGGCTCTAGCTACTAGACTAAAGCAGCGCCATGGCACAAGTGCGTCTTAAACACTAAATTATTATTTTTTTTAGTGTAAGAACGAGTAACTTCTGTCTTTGTCAGGTAAATGTGGCTCCTGTAAATTTAAGGAGACAATAAAAATAAAAAGTCTACCTCGTACGTGAAGTATTTAAAGTGTTTGTTTCAGGACACATTAGAGTTTGACTCTAAAACTTAAAAGCTGAGACTTAAGAGCTGAACAAACCCAGTCTTTTTTTCTTCAGGTTTATTTTCACTGACATAGCAGGAGCATTTGAACTGCAACAGAGCATAATAATAAATAAATTAATAATTTACATGAAACAGATTCATTTAATTTTGAATCAGCTGCAAATCATAAATGTACAATCCCTGGATTTTCTCTCAGTTTTTATCACTCTCTGTAAGGTGGTGTGAATGAAGCTTCTCGTGTCTGTTTGAAGTTGCACAGTTAACAGTGATAAACAAGAGAGCTCGGATAAAATCCCCTTTAAAAAAGCACAAAACCTTTTCTAGATTTACTGACATTTTTGGTGTTGAAGATCCTGATGACTATTTTTGATATTCAAATCCTCCCATACGCTGCTGGCATGTCCAGACTGGCTCTGTGAAATAGTTCATGGAGGACAGTTCAGCTGTTATTGATTATTTACAGCATGATTCTGAACTGTCTTTGAGACCATTTAGACAGATTTCAGTCAAATCAATCAATAAATGTGTAAATAAATACATAGAGTCCACATAAATATTCAATAGAAGACGTGGTGTTGACCATGCATGTCTGCATGCCTCTGATTGGTGGAGGAAAATAAGACGACAGAAGCTCAGACTGCAGGGAGGGTTTGAGTTCAATTTCTGAGGCAGAGGTATAAAGTTCAATGGTGTTGCCAATCTTTAAAATGCCATATTGATCAGTTCTGTTTTATTTGTTGTTCATGTCTTTGCTGCCCTCTGGTGGTTCGTATTTATAAAATGTGCTGTTGAGACCTGGTGACCTTCACAGGACAATATTTCTCACTGAATCTTAAAAAATGGAGACAGAGGGTTTTAAAATGTCAGCATCATGTAGAAACTTTCTGGTTTCTATTATCCAGTGTCTGTTTCAGTCTTTCAAATTGTACAGCTCATCGTGCTTCTAATGTCAAGTTTGTCTTAAAGGTGTGGTAGGCGGGGATCCATTAAAGAAGCATCTTTTTTTGTGGTGTATTTACAAAAAAGCTTTTAATATCAGTCAATATTTATTAGTAATTGATGACATTTAGTAACATCACAATATCTCTATGTTCTCTTATGTCTGTGTAGTCAACATTTTAATATTTCAGAGCTCTCCGCTCGTTCTGACTGTAAACAAAGCCATTCCCCGCCTCCCCCAACTAGATTGGTGGTGAGGCAGACGCTGCTCCCCCGTGTTGTTCACAAGCCCAAACAAAGTTAGCGTGCTACAATATCGGACAGTAGAAACCAACCAGAAAGTACGGAAAATTGTCTGAATCCTCCTTTGGCCATGACCGCCAACACAAGCAAAAAATGAAGTAAATACCGGAGACTCTGACGGAATAACGCTCAAAATCGAGGTAGACCAGACAAGAGCTAAAAAGCTAGCCTGGCTGGGCCGTCTAGTTGCGTGAACCACTTGCTGTTCCCTTCCTTCTCCTTCTGTTGTGGGAAGGAACGGCAAGTGATTCATGCAACTGGATGGCCCAGCCAGGCTACTAAAAAGCTGGGTCAACATAAACAATGGGGGACGCTTCGCGATCTTCGTGACCCACTTTAACCTTTCTGCTGGACAGGTAAACCACTTTAACAAAGTAAGCCAAGTGTCTGTAACAGAAGTGTTTCTTGTCAAACGGCACCTGCTGTAGCGTGTTGTAGCGCCACTAAACTGTTGACCTCAGGTCCTGGACTGTCACTTTATCCTAGTTGTAGAAGTCCTGCAAACATTGTGTTTGCTGGTAGTCTGTTGGCATCTACAGTAGCACCAATGCCTTTTACTTTAACATTGACTGGGCCCCATTTGTAATTATCTGAAGTATTTATCTGCATTATATCTGAATTTAATTGGAACGATCCGAGCGAGCAGAAGCGTCTGTTTGTGGGCGGGGCTTGCTGGAGCAGAGAGGGAGGGGAGAGGAGGAGCTGAGGGGAAAACTGGTTGGGAGGGATAGAGTTCACATTCAAGATTTTTACCAAAAACTGGAACTTCCTCAGATCCTGACTACCCCACCTTTGATTGTAAAATACTGTTGTAGTTAATTTAAGGAGAGCAGAGCCGGCCCAAGACATAAGCGAACTAAGCACCTGCTTAGGGCCCCGAGGCCAGTAGGGGGCCCCCAAGAGCAATCAAAAAATGTTTTAAATATTTTTTATTTTTTGCATGTATGAGTGATGCTTTCTGTCTGATCAAATATATATTGTTGTAAAAATATAATAAAGTAAAAACATTTTAGTACTGCTGCTGATGTAGGCCTATGATTCTTACTGCCGATATGTCAAAGCTCCGCCCACCATTATGTTCCTCCTGCTGTGTAATGTGCACTGAGCATCCAAAGAGCAGATAGTTGTGGGACAAAACAATGTCGCAAAAAAGGACATATCCTTCAGGAGCAGAGAAAAGAAAGAGGAAGAAGAGAAAAAACGCCAAGATAAAGGTATGTTTGCATGTCAGGGAATGTTAAAGAGATTTGTGAAGGAGTGTGTACATGATCAACAATCAATATTGGCAGAAATGGAGGGCCCCAAAATCAAATTTTGCTCAGGGCCCCATTGAGGCTTGGAGCGGCTCTGAAGGAGAGGATAACTTTTGTATTTCTGAGCTCAGATGTTCATGAATAATTAAAACAGAAATTCTAATATGACGTATTTGTTATGTGTGTTGTTTTTTCTTTTTTTTCGCGGTCTTTTTCAGCCTGAAGTTCAGACAGTGAAATCACCCTCTGTAATCTGGACCGGGTTCGAGTTAGCTCTGGAGAGATGAAATGACTTCCTTTTAGGCTTACAGAGAGATGTGAACATCAGGTGGAGATGTTGTTTTTTTCTTCTGTTTCCCTCAAATCAACCTGTTCACCTCTTAATGTGGGAGGACAGTCTGTCAAAGTCTGGTTTTTCCAAATCCCTCTGCAGTCAGGAGTTAAAGCGTGGATACAGGCCACTGAGGCTGCAGGTCCTGGTTTACAGTTTTCACCTGACTTTGACCTTACAGCCTGCATCCTCTCGTCCTGGTAAGGTGTTTAGGTTTTTCCTCAGACAGGCAAGAGGGCACGAGTTGTCTCGTTGACTGGTTTATGTCACTGACCTCACAGCACAGGACAAAGAGTCAAGTCTCTCTCTACCACAGGGGGGCGCCAGAATGCAAAACCCCCTGAAACCTGTCCTCTCCGTGTCGCCATGAGGTCCGCTGTCATCTCAGCCGAAGGCGTTCCCGTTTCGCGCCCCCTGAGAGCAGAGTCGGTTCTGGCTGCGGACGGGTCGGTCTCGGCTGAAGATGGTGTCCTGGTCGCTGTCCAGCTCCGACTCGGACATCATGAGGCTGGAGTTGTGCTCTGTGCTGCGGTGTTTGATACCTGCAGACAGGTAGAGGGTCATTTATCCTGGTGTCTTTAATTCTCTGAACATGTGTTGATTAATTATCGTGATAAAACATTTTTAATTAATGTCAGAACTCCAGATGACCTTAAAGCTCTGTAGAAACACAAGTTTTTACTGAGCAGTCATGTTCCAAATCAGAACGTTCCCCTGCTCACCCCTCCTCCTGTGGAGTGATGGTGGTCTCTGCCTTGGTTTGATACATACAGTCAAGCCCAAAATAATTCATACCCCTGGCAAATTTTGACTTAAAGTTACTTTTATTCAACCAGTAAGTTTTTTATTAACTGGAAATGACACAGGCATCTCCCAGAAGATAATAAGATGATGTACAAGAGGCATCATTGTGGAAAGAAATATTTCAAAGCTTTTATTTACATTTGAACAAAAAGTGGAGGGCCTCCTTGCCATCACCCTGATCTTAAGCTCCCTCCGCAGATTCTCTATTGGATTAAAGTCAGGACTCTGGCTGGGCCACTGCAAAACGTTCATGTTTTTGTCTGCTAACCATTTCTTTACAACTTTTGCTGTGTGTTTTGGGTTGTTGTCGTGCTGAAATGTCCACTGGTGCCCAAGGCCAAGTTTCTCTGCAGACTGCTTGATGTTGTTGTTGAGAATCTTGATGTATTGTTCTTTTTTCATGGTGCCATTTACTGTGGCTGAAAAACACTCCCAAAGCATTAGGTTCCCACCATCATGTTTGACAGTGGGGATTGTGTTCTCAAGCCGCGTTCAGACCAAACGCGACTTGAAGCGACCTAGTCGCGTTGGTCGTCCACGTCGCGTCGCGCCCTGGTGTGTTCACACCGGGTCCAAAGCTGCAGTCGCAGGACGCGTCTGGTCGCCACTGACCCGCTTCTCCCACCTTCCTTCTCCCTCCTTTTCTCCCTCATATATACATCCCGCAGCCCCTTCCAGCACTTGCGGCACACATCCACTGAAAAGACACACACACACACACACACACACGTTGAAACATGTAGCCTAGCAAGCAGGGGAAGTTTGCTATGTTTTCAGAAAATAGTCTGCTCACTGAAATAAATAAACAAACAAACTTACCAGAGAGCCCGACATCATGGGCCACCTTCGCCCATGCCTCCTCCTTTGAGGTGTGGTCCCGGTAGAACGCGCACCCCACGTCATACAGGACCGGGTGATAACTCACGGCAGTGATAAGCTGCTCCTCCATTGTGATTCTTGTTCTCCTCCTCCTTGCTTCGCCGGTTTGTTGAAGTCAGTAGAGCCCTGATTGGCTGTCGCGGCACGGAGTCGCGGAAAGTCGCTCCCATAGTTCAAATATTTGAACTTTGGGAGCAACGCGACTTGGTGTCCTGCGACTTCAGGCGACGCGACCTCAGCGACCATGCGTGACCTGGTCGAGTAGGTTGCTCACATCGCATCGCCGGCAGCCGGCGGTGGCCAAGTCATGTCAGGTCGCGGCTGTACATTGACTTTGCATTGGAAGTCGTTGCTCAGGTCGCCGAGGTCGCATTTGGTCTGAACGCGGCTTTAGGTTTGAAGGCTTCTCCTTTTTTACACCAAATAAAGACTACATCATTGTGGCCAAACAAGTCAATTTTTGTTTCATCTGACCACAAAACAGAAGACCAGAAGTCTTCTTCTTTGTCCAGATGAGCTTTTGCAAAGGCCAAGTGGGCTTTTGTGTGCCTTATTTGGAGAAGTGGCGTCCTCCTTGGTGTGCATCCGTGGAACCCAGCAGTGTGCAGTGTCCGTTGGACTGTCTGCCTTAAGATGTTGCCACCAGCAGAGCTCAGATTCACCAAGATGGTTTTGGCGGTGATCCTTGGATTCTTTTTCACCTCTCTCACTATCCTCCTGGCCAGCACAGGTGTCACTTTAGGCTTCCCACCACGTCCTCTGAGATTTTCCACAGTGCAGAATGTCTTGGATTTTTTAGTAACACTTTGCACTGTAGCCACTGGAACTTGAAAACATTTAGATATGGCCTTATAGGCCTTCCATGACTTGTGAGCAGCCACAATGCACAGCCGCAGTCCTTGATGAGCTCCTTTGTCTTAGTCATGACTGTCCAAAACCCAACTGCAGAGAACAGCTGTTTTTCACGTGTTGAGTTGATTAAAACAGCTGTTCCCAATGAATCAGGGTCATTAGGATGCTTTAGAACAGCTTGGACTATTTGGAATGGTATAGAACTTTGGATTCTCCTATAGACTGTGACAGCTTGCAAAGGGTATGAATAATTTTGGACATGCCACTTTTCGTTCAAATGTAAATAAAAGCTTTGAAATATTTCTTTCCACAATGATGCCTCTTGTACATCATCTTATTTTCTTCTGAGAGATGCCTGTGTCATTTCCAGTTAATAAAAAACTTGCTGGTTGAATAAAAGTAACTTTAAGTCAAAATTTGCCAGGGGTATTAATTATTTTGAGCTTGACTGTATAAACAATATAAACATGAAACAGAAGGAAGGTGGTCTCTAACCACCTTGGGACAGAGACAGACCCCCAAACCGAACCCCTGGCTAACAGACGTGTTGTCTTTAACAAAGGGACCATCAGAAGAACTGGACTGCTGCTAAGGTTCTGAGACAGACCCTATAGAGATCTACAGGACTCACTGAATTTGGGTCGGAGCTCCACCCTCTCCTGCTCGTCCATGTTGTCTAGGATGGTGTACTTGGTTTTCTTCCTCACCTTTGTCTGTTTCCTCCTGCACACAGTCCACAAACACAGGTCAACACAGGGAACAGGTCTGGGGTTCAGAGTCCAGCTTGGTGGTTGTTCAGAAGGTTCAATGGTGATCAGAATGATCTGAATTAGGAGGTCTACTTTTTTCAGGTAATCCACCTCACTTTTGTCCCGGTCTAAAGGTTAGATCAACCTGATCCAGATTCAGTCTCGGGATGGGAATTGAGAACCAGTTCCAGCTAATTTGAGCCATCAACATAATTGGCATTTTACTTTGGCAGTTCCCTCATTGACTCCCTTCACTTCCTGTCAAATCCACCAGCCCTGTGAGACCGGCAGCCTTCAGGTGATCAACTGTTTCTGTAAGAATCTGTCTGACCGAGAAAACCAAACCCTCAAACATTCACACAGTCTGCTATGAGTCATGACCAATCAGCCAATCAGAGGCTGTGTCTATGATCAGCTGACCTCTAAAGGCCCAATCAGGAGCCAGGCCTCCTCGTTTCATCAGAGCAGTAAAGGCAATAAAACCTGAAATAGTAAACAGAAGATTTTAACAAGATTACCAACAGCTTGTTACCAGAACCAAAAAAAAATAATTCTCTGTGTGTCCAGAGGGGGCACCAAAGTGTTAGCTCCTTACAGCTGATGCAGTTTGATATCTCCTGTTTGACCCTGCTGCTGTTTACTGAGAGACTTCACATAGACTAAAGCCTTTTTCCTTTTTTCTCACAGCTCTGAGTCTGACCTGATCCCCTCTGACCTCGGCCTGTTTCCTCTGAATCTCCAGACTTCAAGATCCAGGGGTCAGTGTTTCGTTTGTGCTCACCTCTTGCAGCAGCAGATGAAGGTCCAGCTGACCGACAGGATGAAGATCATGAGTATGAAGCTGGTCAGGATGACGTACAGAACCCTCCACTCTGACCCAGAGAAAGAACAGATAACACACACACACGTGCAACAACATCACTAATCTCTGCTGATTCTTCTGAAGGCGGTTATTAAACTCCAGGTTCTTGTTGGTTATCAGTGACTCAGTAGAGGAGAGTGGGGTAAGATGAGCCATTTTTTAAAATCTATGCATTGGTTACCTGTGTTTTTTAGAGTAGAAATTAAGGTTCTTTTATTAGTTTTTTAAGCTCTTAATGGTCTTGGTTCTTCTTATATATCTAATTTGTTCTTACCGTATGAGCCTAGTAGAGCCCTCAGATCTTCAGGTAGTGGTCTTTCAATTGTTCTCAAAGTTAAAACTAACAAATACAGTGAATCATCGTCACAACATTACGGTCCCCATCTGTAAAACAGCCTACCTGCAGACCTGAGAGCAACACCTACTGTTCATATTTTTAAAAGTAAACACAAGACCTACCGTTTTAGGCTGGCTTTTAGTTAAATTTTGTTTTAATCTTTTAATCTGCATTATGTGATTTTACCCTATTTTAGTTGTAGAGTAACTATTTTGTGTTTTATTACCTCTTTTTTAATTTACTTTCTTTTATTGTTTGATTCTTTGACCGTTTTATTTAATTAACCTTTAATGCTTTATCACCATTATTATGTTTTATTATGGTTTTATCCTTTTAGTCCTAGATCCAGTGTTTCCTCATCTTTTTTCAGTCAAGATAGCGTTTCCTCTGTCATCTGTGGCAAGTTGAAGAGTCCTCACCTGGTCTTTTGTGTGTTCATCTGTGTGTGTGAGTGCTGTATGTGTTGAATGGGGGTTGGGAGGGTGGGTGGGGTTTGGTATTTGTATTTTTATTTATTTTATTTCATTGTTTTTAATATCCTGCTTGAATGGACAGCACTTTGTGCTACATTAAACTTATGAAAAGTGCTTTAAAAATAAAGTCTGATTGATTGATTTTTCATATTTGGGATCACTCCATCAAGTCGATTCTAGTTTTGTCTCTAACTAGTGTATCTGCAGATATTTCAGGATGTTGTTCATCCCTGCAAACCAACAGAATGAGTGTAAACAGAACTGTAATCTTGATCATATAGCATGCCAACAAAAAAGTGGTCTCCTATGGTCAATTTACCCAGAGTATGGGGTAAGAGCGGGATAAGTTGAGCTGTATCCCTACCCCCCCAGGCCTGCCTCACCTTCTCTCTCCCTAAATAACAGTCACTTCTTCACATTCATGTGTATTTTTATCTATTACACACTATTCAACTGGTACAATAATTCTTTTTATTATTATTGGTGCTACGATTAAAAATACCATAATTATTGGTATTGAAATTAATAGAGTAAGGGAAACTAAGTTTTTGGGTATCATGCTGGATGAGAATTTGTCACATATCCATTATACAAAGGCAAAAATAGTAAAAACAATAGCTCTGTTTTACAAAGTAAAGGATTCACTGGATAACAAGGCCTTGTACATTTTATATAACACCGTGATTGTTTCATATCTGACCTACTGCATTGAAGTATGAGGAAATGCCTGTAAAACATATACTCAGTCAATTTTCATTTTGCACAAAAGAGCAATAAGAATTATCAGTAGAAAACGATATAGAGATCCAACAAATCCATTAAAATTGTTGAGAATTCATGACTTTGTAGATTATAGTATCCTGCAAATTATGCTGAAAGCTCATTAAAAAATGTTGCCAATCAACATTCAGAAAAGATTTGAAAAAAAGAGAAAACGAGTATACTTTATAAGGAACACAGATCTTTAAAAAAACATGATTCAGGACTAAATTGATGGAACGTTGTATTTCTGTTACAGAAATCAGTTTATGGAACAATCTGAACAAAGACATCAAAGAATCCAAGTCAAACATTACATTTAAGAGAATAATTAAAGCCAGTATGTTAAGGAAATATAAGGAAATATGTTAGTTATATCTGATTGTCATACCATTGTAATTTTGTTGTTGTTTGAGTGGCATTAACTGAATTGTAACTTGGGAACTAAATGGTATATGACTGTCTGTAGTGGCCAGCAGCTATATTTTTATTTTATTTTATTTTTGTTGTGTTTTGTTTATGTTGTTGTTGCTTTTTTTAAATTTTATTGTATTATTTTAAGTTTGTTCTTTGTAGATTGATTTCTGGGGATAAAGGGGCAGATAAAATAAGATGAGTCTTTTTTCTGCTCCCCTTAATACTAAATAGGAGAATGTTTGTATTTAAATTAAATTGTTTCTTTTTATCTTTAAATGAATGAAATAAAGAATAAATAAATAAATAAAATTGCATGTAACTGCTAAAAATCTGTTTTATATATAAAAAAAAAAATTTGAACATGAGAATGTCTTTAAGTGATTCAGAACATTCACAGCTGTATTTTTGAAAAGAAAAAGTCAAACATTTCAACAATCTGAACTGAAACGCTGATCCTCTCATCAGACTCCTTTACTTTCTCAGTTACCCCATAACTACTATGATGACTTTGTTAGTCCTTTAAGGCAGTGGTTCTCAACTGGTGGGTCCTGACCCATAAGTGGGTCGTGGATGAGTTCTGGATGGGAACAGCTGGTCAAGTAAATATTTAATGCGCATCTGATGTTTGACATGTCTTTTATTTTGAAAAATATCTTATTTTGCAAGGTATGGGTTATGTTGTGGTCCTCCTCAGTTTCTTATTAATGTGGCCTGGATGCAGTAAAATACATGTTTTTTATGGTCTTTATTTTGTGCAATTTGATTTTTATTCACTTTGGTCCTCCTCAGGTTCTTCTGAATATGCTCTGAATGCAGAGATGCAAATAAGTCAAATTTCTCATTTTGCTGGTCTCCATTTTGTGCAATTTGATATTTGATATTTTCTGTATATGTAACTTCAGTAGTTGTCATCATCAGTTCATGTGCTCTGATGCAATTTATTTGATAAAACGGATGTATTTATGTTAAAGATTTAAATTTTATAAAAGTGGGACACTACTTAAGGACTATGAGAAAATGTGGGTCCCAGAGTGAGACCAGTTGAGAACCACTGATCTAAGCTAAAATGGTGGACTTTTATGTTGGGTTTTTGACCTCATGTTGTAGCTCATAGATACCACAATTGATGTATAAAATCATTTTAAAATGATCTTTTTTAGTCTGAACCTAATTCTAATCAAACTTATGACAGACTAAATTCACTTTACAGAGTGAAAAATGTTTTTTTGGAAATAGATGTCTAGCCCCTTCACCCATGTGCTTCAAACCTTCACAGACTCCATATGTTACTCACCACAGTTACTCTCTCCATCACCGAGGTACCGACGAATCGGATTCTCCGTCCAGAAAGGGTCACAGAGACAATCCTTTGTGATTGGGTCACACTGGCCCCGCCCCGAGCATTGAAGCAGACACACTGACCAAAATAGAGGCAGACATGTCACTTCACCTTTGAACCCTAGTCTAACCAGGTCAGTGGTTTCTTCTCAGTCATGAATGTACTCACAGAGGGTGTCCACTCTCAACACTCTGAACAGCAGGTAGTCACTCCTCTCTCTGAGCAGCTGGTTCCTCAGTAGACCCACAATCCTGGAGCCAGAGACCGGACCTGAGGGGCCCCTCACCGAGAACCATAACACAGTGCTGCACAGACGCACACAGCAGAAAAACACAACTGTTCAGATTCAGAGAAAACATTCAAAGGAGTCTACATCAGAGGGTTCGAGGACCAGCAGGTACCTAAGGTGGGAGTGTCCCTGCAGTCCTCGGACCTGGATGTCTCCGTCCAGGACGTGAAGCAGAGCGGCGAGCTGTCGGACTACTGTGTCCCTCTGAGACACACTGACCTGGGACACTGACACCAACATCTCTAGCTCCACCTCCTCCCCTCCACCCGGCTCTACGGAGACACAGCAGGGACACACTTGACTGCATGAAGCGGACCCACACCAGAGGGGAGAACCCACTGCAGAAACAGGAACTGTCCTACCACCGTCCTACCTGGTCGCACCTCCACGGTTGCCATGGCAGTGCAGGTTCGTCCCTGAGCGTCGCTCACCCTCAGCTGGAACAGGTAGGTTCCTTCGACCAGGTTAGCCAGGTAGAGAGACGGCTGAGTGTCTGAGCCGTACAGCACATCCTACAAAAACAGACGTCAGTGAGTCTGTGGAAGAATATCAACATGATCGGACCCTCCTGATTAAACCTTTCCTACTGACCCCAGCAGCAGGACTCTGGCTGTCCCTGACCCACAGAAAGTGGACCTCAGTCTGGTCTCCATCAGTCACAGAGCCCCGGAGGACCAGAGAGTTGTTGGGCAGAGTGAGAGTGTGGCTGCCGCTAGCGTGAGCGACAGGAGGAAGACTTCTGGCTGTGAGAGAGACGGGGCGACAGAGAAACTGTAAAGGGCGTGTGAAATAGAAGCTGAAACTGAAAGAGGTTTTCTTTACGGACCAGGAACAAAGTCCAGCTGTGTCAGGTCTGTCCTCCAGAGGAGAAAAAAACTACTCAAACATGCAGTTGTCCAGCTACTTTAAAAAAACAGAATCTAGATCCTTCAGCCCTCAACAATTATAGACCCACATCCAAACTACCCTTTCTTTCCAAAATACTTGAAAAAGTCGTTTTTAACCAATTGTTGTCCCACCTGGCTCAAAACTGCATTTTTGAAAAGTTCCAGTCTGGTTTCAGAGCTCTTCACAGTACTGAGTCTGCATTACTGAGAATAACTAATGACCTCCTTGTAGCTGCTGACTCAGGTAACTGCCCCATCCTCCTGCTCCTCAATCTAACTGCAGCCTTTGACACAGTAGATCATTCAATTCTCATTCACAGACTAACCCAATGGGCAGGAGTCTGGTTCTGCCTTAAAGTGGTTTTCATCGTATTTATCTAAGAGATCATTCAGTGTCTCCATTAGAAACTCCTCTTCTTCCTCAGCCCCCATCTCCTGTGGGGTCCCCCAAGGTTCCATACTTGGTCCAATTCTCTTCTCCATCTATTTGCTTCCCCTTGGTCACATTATTAAAAAGCATAACATATCTTTTCACTGTTATGCAGACGACGCACAGATCTACCTCCCCCTTGAGCCTAATAACTACAGCAAACGAAGTGACCTTAATAACTGTCTTCATGACATCAAATCCTGGATGGCTGCAAACTTTCTCCAGCTCAATGACAACAAAACTGAAGTTATTCTATTTGGACCACAGCATTTGACCAACATTATCGCCCCTCTACTTGGCCTTTTGGCCCCCTCTGTCAAATCACATGTTAAAAATCTTGGTGTCATCTTTGACAAACAAATAAATCAGGTTGTAAAATCAAGCTTCATGCAGCTCCGCATCGTCTCAAAAATTAGATAATTTCCTACTACTTCTGACCTGGAGAAAGTCATTCATGCCTTCATATCCTCCCGCCTCGACTATTGTAATGCATTATATTTTGGTATCACTCAGTCTTGTTTATCTCGTCTCCAACTAATTCAAAATGCGGCAGCCAGAGTTTTAACCAGAACTAAGAAGAGGGAACACATTACTCCCATTCTTGCCTCCCTTCACTGGCTGCCTGTTAGCTACAGGATCAAGTTTACCCTGATGTTTGTTTACAAAGTGTTGAATGGTCTTGCCCCCTCTTACGTCACAGAACTCTTGTCCCCATATCACACAATGAGAGAACTAAGATCGTCTGACCAAAGACTTCTGTCAGTCCCACGATCCAGGACTAAGTGTTATGGGGACAGAGCTTTCTCTATCGCTGCCCCAAAACTGTGGAATTTTCTTCCTCCCACTATCAGATTCCCCCCCCACCATTGAGATTTTTAAGACTCATCTTAAAATCCACTTTTACTCCCTTGCTATTAACTGTCCCCTAATTTTTAGAGCTCAGCCATTTCCCATGTAGGCATTTTTACAGTTATCTGTAATATTTAAATCGTGTTCAGGTATAAAGTTGGAGCTCAGACCTTCCTGGATCCTGATGGTCAGTGAAGCACTGTCTGTTGCCCCCTCCTGGTCAGAAACGGTGAGTCTGAAGGTGTAGTGTCCCAGCCGGAGTCCCGAAACTGTGGCTACTGCTCGGTCTCCTCCCTCCAGCTTTAGTCCTGGAGGTCCGCTGAGACAACAAAATGGAAAAAACAAACAAACAGACTTTAAATCTCCTGTGAGGAACTTTCAATTTGTGGTAGTTTTGGTGCCCTCATGTGGGCAAATATTTAAACTACATCACTTTGCTGATCTTGTCCTGAACATAAACAGTTTTTCCTGAAAAAAATGTCATCCTGCTGTTTCAGAGGCTCGCCGATCTGCTGGTTTCCTACCTGACGGCGTCCCAGCGGTAGCTGACGATACCTCGGTCGTCTGTGCTCCGGCTGCCATCGAGCGTCAGGCTGTTTATTGGGAGGGACAGCTTCATGTCAGGACCAACCATGGCCACCGGACCACAGTTTGAGCCCCCTGCTGCTGAGACTGAAGGAAGAGAGAGGATGTGACTCTGCTCCAGAGCCCGTTTCACTTAGATCGCTCACTTGTTCATCTGGACTCACCAGACTCTGCAGCCGTTGCAGTAGATGATGTGGTGGTGGGTGGAGAGATTAAACTGGCGGGGGATGATGTGAAGTTGGTGGGGTCAGAGGTCTCAGCTGTACTCGAGGCCTGGGTGAACAACTTCAACACATCTGTGGGGTCACAATAAAGTCCTTATTATCACATAAACCCTGAAAATCCTGATCCCTGTGGTTCAGGATCTGTTTTTTTTTCTTGTATTAATGCGCCGAGGAAAACTCGCTCAAGTTACATTCAACCAGAGTGACATGTTCCCAGAGTGTCCCAGAGTGACATGTTAGAGGAACGACCAAACAGGGAAACACGTCAGCTAAGGTACAGTAGATCTGTCATCTAAAAACTCTACAGGGTGAGTCTAGATCCTGATGTGAAGCTGTCTGAGTGAGAAGTACCAGTCATGGGTTCAGAAGACGCTGCAGCACCAAGTGTAACTGTGAACCACAGCGGGGTCTGGTCTACAGGGTTTCCAAGGGACTCTGTCAGGGGCGGATCTGCAGCTCCAGGAGAAAGGAAAAAAACAAAACATTCATTGAATTTACTGGGAACCTCCCCACTCTCCTCCAGCTAACCTCTGTGTGTTTAGTTTTCAGTCATCCCTCCACTAGTGGGCGCCAAACTTCACATGGCTGCTTTCACATAACTCACTAATACAGAACTGAATGTAGACGTTGATAAAGCAGCACTGATATTTTAGTCAGTGCGAAAGTTTCACTCGCATTTGCAATTAAAATAGATGTGAGTGAATTGTAAAATTGAAATAAAAAAAATTAAAATTACTGGTTGATGCTCTCAGAAAAGGCTGTTTTACTTCAATAGCTTCCATGTCATGTGACCAATTGACCTAAAATTGATTTCAATTAATAGTTCTAAGGTCGATCAATAAGACACACCTCTTATTTTCCTAATTTGTCCTCTAAAAATTTTTGTGTTTCATTTAAAGGCCAATTTTGAACATTTCCTTCAATAGCTTCCATGTCATGTGACCAAAAGACCTAAAATTGATTTCAAATAACAGTGCTTATGTCGATCAATAAGACATCATTATTTGATCAATTTTTATTGTGCCCCTAAAGTTCTTTGTGTGCTCCTAAGTTGAAAAAAGTTAGTGTCAAGCCCTGTTAGTCCTACCTGGCTGTGCAGAGGTGCTGATTGGCTTAGGAGGTGAGACGGTTGTTGGAAGGGAAGTCCTTATATGGTCGTGTTGGGTGGAGTCACTTGTTGGTTCTTGTTGTGGTGCTGATGAATCGTTGCTGGTCTGTGTGTTGGTCTGTAAAAAACACATCAGCTGATTAGAAGATGTCGATCTGTCAATCACTGACTGTCCATAGACTGGGAGTTTTGTCGTCTTTTCTGGAGGTCTGTTGGTCAACACGAACACTGAGCAGTGATGCTGCTGCAGCTTTTTAAAGGGATATTATTGGCGTAAAATTAATTTAGGGTCAAACACACTGTAACACCGAGTTAGACACCCCCTCCAGAGATGAATGTTGCCGACCGCTTGCTTCTGTAGTTATACCAACTTTAGTAACGTCTGCAAGATAGCAATACACAGCGGTCTGAGGAGCCATTAACAAACCTCAAACAAAACGCCACTCTATAGCCACAAATAATGCTAAGAACAGCACCTAACTTCATCAACAGTACATATAGGGTCCCAGCCATAGTACTAGCCACCAAACTTCTTTTTAACTTAATTTCTTTAGCAAAGAGACTAAACACAACTCACCTACTCTCTTCCAAATTAGTCAAGGTTAAAAAGATGTTTGGTGGCTAGTACTATGGCTAGGACCCTATATGTACTGTTGATGAAGTTAGGTGCTGTTCTGAGCATTATTTGTGGCTATAGAGTGGCGTTTTGGTTGAGGTTTGTTTATGGCTTCTCAGACCGCTGTGTATTGCTATCATGCGATCGTTACTAAAGTTGGTATAACTAGAGAAGCAAGCGGTCGACAACATTCATCTCTGGAGGGGGCGTCTAACTCGGTGTTACTGTGTGTTTGACTTATTTTTACGCCGGAATATCCCTTTAACCTGATTAACTCCATCACTCACCGTTTCCTCAGCAGCAGTTGATTTAGTCGGTCTCCCTGTCCTTCCTTCTTCTTCTCCCTGGTTCAAGTCCCCCCCAGAGGAGGCTCTATTCTGGGCCACACTGCTTTCCATCATCCCTCCCTCTGGACCTTTCTCTGTCTCTGATTGGTTAAACCCATCTGGTCCTTTCAAAGATGTCTGATCTGTCCCCATCTCCACCTCTGAGCCTCGCTCCTCCTGGTTCCTCTCTGGATACTCAAAATCTGGGACCCCGGGGACAGAAAAGTCCCGCCGGGCCTCATCGAATAAAGCGAGGTCCTTCAGAGCCTGTATGTCACCCGGGGCCTCTGAGGACCGGGACGACGGTCTCCAGCGACCTCCATACGGCTCTCCTCTAACCAGAGACTGCAGCACCAGTGTCTGGGGTGATGCTCTGCGGACAAAGGCGAGGATGGATTTCGCTCCTGGTCGCTCTTGAGGCGAGCAGTTCTCCCTCTGCTGGCAGCTCAGGACGTAGCAGTGGCCCTCGAACAGCCACGCCAGATCATAACCCGGCAGGTCACAGCATGCAGCCACACACTGGGACAGAGACGACACACTGGGTACACGCAGAATACCACTGCTCTCCACGGCTGGGGACACAACAGCCTGGGAGAAGGTCGCCCCCTGCCAGCACTGAGACGCCACTACAGCTGCAAGGACGAAATACAAAGATAAAGCGTTGAACTTAATGACTTTTTCTGTTGTTGTCATTCACTGTCATTGTGAGTGTGTGTAGTTCAAAATGCACAAAATAAACTTTGGATCATTGTTATTAGATATATATTTTGATGATAGATGTGCCCTTTTGTACTAGATATGGAGATTTGTTCATTAAATATGTCTGTTTTTAACTTACAATGTAAACTTATCTCCTAAAAAAGTATTTACATTCTGATTTATTTATAATCGATTCACTATGTTATGGATTTCTTTTCTGGACATGTAGGTATTACTTTAGATTGATGTCACACAAAGTGTTTTGTTGTTTATTTGCTGTCTCTTTTGTTAAATTACCCGATGATGATTTTGCCCCTCTGTGTTTACGCGTGAGAATGGGATTGGTCATGGAGAAACGACCACTCCCTATTTAAGATGGCTTCTCTTGAACAAAAAACTGTTTGCCCGATGAAGGTCTAGTACCGAAACGTTGCAAATAAATGATTGATTGCAAGTTTTTTTTTGATTGTAAGTGTGCAGGAATCCCTTTGCTACATTTTGGTCTTTTTTCTCCAGCACACCTGTCTTGTTTTATAGCTGTGTGAAGTGCTTCCTGAGTTTGTCATTTTAAAAACACTTAAGTTGTGATCATAAAAATTCAACAAAAATGAGAAACAAAATTTACCTTCCACACAGTAAAGAAGCACCAGGAATGATTTCTCCCACATCTCCTCTCAGTCTGACAATCTAAACGAGAGAAACAATAAAGGAAAAACAATAAGACCATTAAGTTTTATGCAAAGGTTAACATAAACAAGCGCTCAGAGTGTGTCTCTACATTTAAATCAGTTCAAACTAATTACAAGGTTCAATTTAGCCCGTGGTTAACGTGATGAAAACAAAACAAACATCCTTATTAACAGGCGTTTTGATAACAAGGAGAAACACCAGGAACAGTTTCAGCACCACGTTTTTCGGACAGCGACACCGGGAGCCCCGCCCAGCGACAGCACAGACCCTGCTGCTCGGAAAGCAAAAATAAACGCACCTTCATCCCTCTGACGACGCAAAATACGATATTTTAACAGAATTTGAAAACAACTTAAAGAGTTAAAATTCGTAAACTTACACGAGAACACCACGAAATAGTCTGAAATTATCGTGTAATGTCATATCTACTCCAAAGATGCAAAGAATAATCTTAGCAGGCTTAGGCTCCAAACCCTGTTAAAAAAAAATACTTATTTAAGATTGTGTTAAATTTTGTTAACATCATGTACAATGTCTAGATTAATTTAAAACTGTTCCAGCATCTTTATGAAACACTTTTTAATTCGGCCTGTGTTCTTTACCATAATTGACAAGTTTTTCACTTAAACTTCTAACTTTTAAAGCTGTTTTAAACCTGCGTTGCCTTGACTGCCAACTCCTCCATTATCCGGTTCTTAAACTGGTTTAACACCTCGGTTTGAAATGAAAACTGGTTTGATTATCTCTAACTTAAACATGATAATATACAGCGATATTAAACATCCACTAAAACATTATTGAAACGCTGTATTTAATTGTTTTACTCCTTATTTTGAGCCTAGGGGAAGACGTAAAGTTAGACGGTTTGTAAACGAAGTCTGGTTTAGGTGACGTGGGCTAACAACGGAAGAGGCGGCTAGCTAATAGATGTCAACAACGCCGTCTTATTGTTAATTTGATCTCCATTGTGATTTTAAAAGGTGATAAAGTGTCCGCAGCTACAACAGCTTCGATCCTCAAGCCTTTCTGTGAATCCAAATATTGAAACACCTGAGCGCTCGTGAGGGCTGAAGCAAACCCACCTGGCTGCGACTCGAGTTCTCCCAGCGGCTCCTTACTGGTGCTCCAGAATAAACCCAGTCACCCCTACTGGTTCCATACTGGAGTCTCTGTGGGTGGGGTTCGATCGGCTTCAAGTTGATGCTGAATCAGTATCGAGAAACCACGGCCAGCGTCCATTCAGCGGGACGCTAATTTTTGATATCCGGTCGTTACTTTCAAAACAAAAGCTCAATTTAGGGGCCAACACGCCACAGCAGTAACATCTGAGGGTAAAGATTTTTTAGGTCATTCCATGAAATCGGTGCCTTTTCAGCTTAGAAAATTTAAAATTGAAACTATATTTAAATGTAAATTTTTAAGTACCCAGGAATCAAGGAATGTTTAAAATAACAGGAAATGATATTGTGCCATCTCAGGCTGTATTATTTTATATTTTATAACTGTTTTTCTCCAGGCTGCTTTGCTTATCTTGTCAACCCTGTCACCGACATAAACTTAACAAAAAACAATATTTATAATTAGAAATATGCAATATATGGTACATATATTAGCAGTACTTTAATCTCTTTTTCCATTGAGATTATTTAATTTTGTGGATTTTTTTCTCCAATTAGATATTTGTCATTCAGAGAATCAAATATACCCTAATTTTGCATGGCGATCACGTCTCAACATACATCAGATATTTTTTAGAAGAGAAATGTTGAAACATGGCCCAATCTAAGATATAATGTAATTTAAATTATAATGGTGAGTGTTGAAAGCCCATTTGAGTTGTCATTTTTTACATTTTTATCAAATTAATGACAACAACAGGATTGATGTTATGGTAACAGGGCTGACAAGAGTAAAAGTGAGTGGACACTCAGTAACTGGCTCTCCACCAGTGTATCAATCAATCAATCAATTACAAAAATAATTATTAGCTCAATAATGTTCACTTAATGACCTAAAAATGTTTTAATTTTAAAAGGTTAACCTTTAAAGAGAGAACAACGAGGGTAAACACTATTCTATGTCATCGCTGTTACTCACATGTCAAATCTTATTACTGTGGAAAAGTAACAGCGTTGACAGTAACAGGGTTGACAATTTTAAGCTAATATGCCTGTGGCTTAAATAAGTGGTAGCTAAAGTCGCTCGCACAATATCAATCACAATATCAATCAATCAATTAAATTTTATTTATATAGCGCCAATTCATAACAGTCGTCATCCCAAGATGCTTTACAAAGAAAAAGAGCAGGTCTAGACCACGCTCATTGTTTGATGAATTATCAAGACCTGACCTAAAATGGGATTTGGCTCATCTGATCTAACATGAGTGACAGTGGCAAGGAAGAACTTCCTTTTAATAGGCAGAAACCTTGAACAGGACCAGACTCATGTTAGACAGACACCAAGCTGCTGCTGGGTTGGGGGTCAATATGAAGTTGAACTGAAACTAACACTACACCGGCATCCCCCAGATCGACTTCATATGGACTCAGGCACTACATGGCCTAACCACATGACACATAGAAAAGTTTACTAAGCAAAATTAAACAATAACCTTTCCACTAACTTCTTTGCTCGTCTTCTCGCCGTCGTCGTTTGCATCCTTTTTTTTGCGTCCTTAACTTCCGTTGTGGCTTTTTTTAATCAGCACCGTATCGTTTTTTTTTTTTTTTGCAGCAGCAGCAGGCTTCGGTTTCTTTTTCTTTCTTTTTTTTGCATAATTAATTACTGTTGTGGCATTTTTTTAATCTGCACTGTTTCTTTTTTTATTTTATTTTTTTTGCAGCAGGCTTTGGTTCCTTTTTTTTGCATCACCACTTTTTTTTGGGTCGAACCAGAGCAGTGGATTAAACAGAGTGGAGACACTCCAATAGGCATACGCTGTACAGCCCGGCGGACCCCACTTCCGGGTTATGGAACTCTCAATAGTTCCAACATGACCGCCTGTCACGTTGGACGCCATTCGCTTCTATGGCCACAAGGCAAGCACTCACCGAGGTTAAATGATAAAATATCAACAAGTTTAATGCCAATACGTGTGCAAATGGTATCGAGGGACCCCTTTATATGTAAAATGATTTTAATTTTAGTATGCTCAAATTGTAATTACAAATGCAATTCCGTTTTTTTTAGTTAGGAATTGGGATCGATTTTTTAGCCACGGCCTGCTAGTTGGACGCATAGACTGTATATAGAATGTATGTATTTTTAGATTAGCCTATATTTCATATTCTGTCAAATCTCTTTTTCAGCCAAACATCTTTTATTATTTATGCCGATTTAGAAAGATTTTTCAAGTTAATAAAAGCATGTGATGACTTCAATCTATGTGTGAATTAGTATAAAGTACCATCACATGAAAATAGTCCTCTTTTTACTTAAGTGAAAGGGTCTTTTGGCTCAGAGCTGATGTGATATTTTTAATTTTTAAAGTTCAAAATTCGATATCTTTATGGCTTTTTTGATGCCTTATAATGGGCTTTGTCAAATAACAATGATCAACTTTAAGTGTTTTTTAAAACAAGGGTGACAAAGTGCTTTACAGATCTAGTTACTGCTCTAAAAAATTGATATGATAGGAGTATATATAGACTATTTTTAGTAGCCTTCTAAAGAAAAATGACTGAATTTAATTGAAGTAAAGGCTTCAGTGGAATTTATAATGATACATAAAGCAGGGCTCTCAAGTCTCACGCATTCCCACCCGTTCACACGCCACACATTGTATTTCTCACGCATTTAAATGAACATGGTGATGTCCACCAAGTTGCGCCTCTTTAACTATGGAACAGGTAGGAATCAACTGAGTTCCTCCGAGAGTTCAGAAGCTGCGTGCCACGCGCAAGCCAATCAAATAAAGTATATCTACTGAAGAGCCAATAAAAAAGCAGCATTGCTGTATCCGGGTAGATTTTGATATCTTACGGTTTGACTACAGAAGAAGACAGACACTCGCCGTAATAGAGCATGTTTTTATAAGGACGAGATAGACCCGATGATTACAGTAAGTCAGTAACCTACACATGCAGAGACCTCAACACCTCATGGCATATAAACTCATATGATAAACTAAAGCCCTATGCTATTGCTATTAACAGCTGTATTGACGGATTTAGCCTCTGTACAACCATTTCCAGCCATTTTGCCCTCCACAAAAGCAGCATTTCTCATATATCTCAAATATAAGTTCTGATACTCATGACAGTGTAATGCTCATGTACCAAAAGATTAAGTATCTCCATGTTTGTGAAACCTATACTTAAGTAGAATTCATCTAAATGCTCCACAGTGCTGATTTTAACATCTCTCATTCACAACAGGTAACTTTACGACTTAATACTGATATTAATGACTTTATTCTCCCAAATAATAACTTTATTCTTTAAGATTTCAAAAAGTTTTTTTTCTAATTGTGCCCCCTATACTCCGTTGTATTTAAGAGATAATTATACTAATAATTATCTTCAATCACGAAAAATAACCTCCACTTTACTTCGAGAGATATTTATATTCCATTGAGATTAAAGTAAATTAAAGATAATATCAAACTTTTAGATATAACCTACCAGTGTAAGGGTTTTCTAAAGTAAACAGCATTTTAAATCTCCATGGTAACCTGTAACGATGTAAAAACTTTAAATCATTACAAGCAAAAGAGAGCGGTCATTTCTGAAGATCAAATCTGAAGAGAACAGCACGAAAAACTTAAGCGGCTCACGAACTTACAAGTTTTGACGGCTTCATCGTAAATAAAACCTCACCAGACGACTAAGGACTCCGACAAACACCTCTAACCAACACCTGAACAGAGAAGACAACATCTACGACATGGAGACCGTAAGATTTCATGACAATATTAGCATACAAACTTGTGTTACTGTCGAGACTTTCGTGATGGTTAAGCGATGCATCGACAAGGATTAAATGTGTGCATGGATATTTACAGTGTTTATGACTTAAATGTGACAGGCATTATCAAAACTAGAAAAAATTGCATTTCCTTGCAGAAAATGCGTGGAAATGCTGAGTGCTGAAACCTGAAAAAGCAATGCTAAACTGCTAAAAAAAAAAAAATGGAGGAAGGTTTAAATGTAAAATTGGTTAAAGAGCTGGAGAAAGAAAAGTAGAAGTTAGATGAAAGTGAAAATTGCTGAAGTACAAATAGTATGAATGTGCTTCATAAATTAAAATTGCATTCATGCTAAATAAGGCTAGAAAAACTGTCTGAAATTGCAAAAAAAATTGTATAAGGAAGAAAATTACCTTAAAACACAGAAAAGTAAGAAGCGGCATAAGTTTAAGTTGAAGTACTAGAAGAAGTATGATAATAGGTAGTTGTACTAGTGATATTAGTAGTCATGTAAGCAGTAGAAGTAGTTTTAGAATAGAAGAAGTAGAAGTCAAAGCAGTAGAGCTCGTGGTAGAAGTAAAAAAAATATTTAGAGAAGCAAGAGCAGTGGAGGTAGAAGTGAAGATACAAGTTAAAGTGATATAAGTAGTAATTGTAGTGGTAGAACTGGGATTTTGTTTGAAGAATTAAAACATACATAAATAATGGGAATGATTTTGAAGTGGGAAAAATTTTTAATAATTAGAAGTCCTAAAGTGTTAAACAGGTTTGAAGTATCAGAAAGGTTTGAATCAGTTTGAATGAGTTTGGATTTGTCTGACGAATTTAATAATGCATGAATAATGAGAATAATTTTAAAGTGGGGAAAAGTTAAATGACTAAAATCCTGAGTACACCCCATAATGTCCTCAATGAGCTGAATTTTTGAAGCCCAGAATGGTTTCTGTAGCTCAAAGTTTGTGGGTGGAGATAGGTAGTGATGCAGACACATATTAACTGTGTGTACATGCAGGTCTTTTAGACACAGACACAGACACACGCACACACATTGCCAGACTCTGTGTGTGTGTGTCTCGTTAATGATTGCATCCTAAACAGCTGTGAGATCAAAGGCATTAACTGACCTACTGTTTGAATGAGAAGCTGCCTCTGGACTTCTTCACATAGCGTGATTTCCTTATATCCCAGAATGAAAATAAGAACATTGTACGAATCCTCCGCCCTTCATGAACACAATGAATGTGGCCACAACAGCAAGTTAAAAGTCCAGACGTTCGGATGGTTATCTTAAAAGTGATGCATTGACATCACATGAAAGTCCTGCCCACCATGTCAAAGACTCTTCGTGC